ACGAGAGAGAGAGAGAGAGAGAAGAGAGAGAGAGAGAGAGAGAGAGAGAGAGAGAGAGAGAGAATGGTGTATATTGTGATTAAGTTGGAGAAACAATATCATTGTAAATACTCACCACACTTGACCTCATCATCGTTGCAGTCCCATTTGCCGTCACACACAAGGGATTGTGGGATACACTCCTTGGTGGTCTTACAGAGGAACTGTCCGCTAGCGCAGCCAGTGCAGCGGCAGTTACACTGGGCATCCAATTCCTGAACTTCATTCTGAAATATGACAGAATTTTTGACTTGTTTTAGTTTGTACCACAGGCACTGCATATATACGAGGGTAAAGGTGTTACTGTTGGGGTGTCCCTTTCAAAGCTTTAGCATTTTTCATCTTTTTCTCTTAGTTGGTTTTTCTAAATTTTGGTTGAGATATATAGCTTTCAATATTTTAATTGCTTAAAATAATTATGATACCGAAATAAATTTCTACTTTCTTCATTCCGAGTCATGTGAACAAGTACTTTAAGGAAGGTTTATAAGCAAAATAATATAGGCAATTAAATAAGTATTAAATTGAAGATTATATAATGCTATTTATTATTTTGCTAATTCAATTTCATTTAAAGGACAGCACTTAATTTGCCAGATAATCCCAAAGGGATAAATATAAAATAAAAGAATAAAAAGAAACTGTCACCTACCTCAGCACAAGCTGTTGGGCAGACCTTGTTCATACACTTGAGGACCCCACTGGCACATGTGCACGTCTGGCACTGGTCGTTGGTCATGAATTTGCCAGGCTACAAGAAAAATGGACAATTGTACAATACAATGATGTTGAACAAACTGATCTTACCTTTTTTGTTTTAAAAAAGAAATGCCACAATATTACCCAAACTGGAGCATTATTTTATAATTTCTTTTTGAAGGTTCTGCATATAATTCAACTAAACACTGACAAGTTATTAAATTGAAAGATTTCTAAGGTTAAAAATACACCAACGAAGACTGTATGTACTTCAACCTTAAATTCCAGTAACTACAATGTATATTATATATCCACTGTATGGACAAGAACATGGTCAATACACCAAACCCTATATCCACTTACATAGATGTGTTTGGTCACTCCGCCACTGACCACGATGCATGGGCACTGCTCTGGTGGCATGCAGGTATGTCCATCACACACTTGACCAGCTGGACAGCCATCAGCTGGACAGCTGGAGGAGTCCTTGACCCCCTGGCAGAGTGGGATGGGAGATGGGGTGGAAGGCTGGGAAGTGGGCACTGAAGAGGAAGAAAGGTTTTGAAAATTAGAACACCATGAAATGAAAAATTGCATTGTATTCCATATTGGAGATATGACAAGAGAGTGCCTGAAAAATAGGAAAATCTTCCTCCTTCCCAGAATTTTCTCCAATACTGAATGATTTTGCACATATTCTGACAACTTTTCCAAAAGCATTTTTTTATAAATAAAAAGGCTAATATCCATAAAAAAGAGGAATCCAATCCGTAAGTGTATATTATCATAAGACATGTAATGCAAAAAATTCAACAAACAGTTTCCTTTGAATCAAATGTTTTAAACCAAGATAAATAATAAAAGAAATCTCTATTCAAATACACATAAAAATGATATTACAATATTATGATATATTAGTTTGGATTTATACAGTATTATATAATAATCTTATCTGGACTATATTTAGACTATTTTCATCATTCTAAATGAAGAAAATAAACCTTGTTAACAACATTAGAAACATTATTAACAAAATAATAAACTTACCACACTGTGGCTTGGACTCATCAATACATCCAATGCGGACTTCGTAGTCGTAGCACATGGCGTTGTTGGCCTGGTCCTTAGAGTCGCACTTCATTCCCAACCATGTGTTACACAGCACCTTCTGGTCTGTCTTGTCATGTGCCACCTAGCGGGGGAAGATCAGATTATATGAGTGAATGTAACACAAATAAGCAATATACCTTAATACAGATGGCATGTAATTATGTAGAATTTTCAATGTTAAATCATTACTTTGGATTCAGACTTTATATGATTTGAATTAATATTAGTTTAGTAATTTACTAATTTATTAAGTATTATACTTTGAAATGTGTAAATCTTCTTTTGTTAAGAATGCAATCATAAGTTTCATAAATAACCACAATCCTGAGGTTAAAATATCCGAAATGAAATGTTTTAACTCAAAACTATCAGCGTTCGTTTATTTACCTTGTCAGTAACACGGCGACACTGGATCTCCATAGGCACTTGGCAGATAGGTGTCAGTGACAGCACGTCCTCGATGGCCTCACGATCAGAACCGAAGAGAGCCTTGTCACTGTTGACCCAGTTACCCCAGACTGTGCAGTCATCTGGAGTCGGAATATGAAATGATTTACGCTTGACCAAAAAAGTTTGGAAACAAGTATTTATTTTTCCATAATTAAAAAAAAATTATAATGTATTGGTATTACCATACAAACTTACCCTTGGGTGGCTCAGGTGTACTGACAAGTTTGGTGACAGGTGGTAGGGTTGGGGTTCCAACAGTGGGGGTTCTGGCTGTGGGTGCTGTAATATAATTGATAATGTGTAATAAATAGTTATTCACAGAAAGTGTTATCTCTAAACAGGATTAAACCAGTACAGCGCATGCAGGTAAACACAATTGTAATATTGTGTCCCTTTGTTATCAATGTTTTTTCATTACTTGTACCTCTTGTGTAAAGTTATGGTGATGAAGTAAATTAAAATGATTTCTCAATTTCAACCTAACAATCTATAGGGCTTTAGTCACACAATGTGGCAGCTAAAACACTAACGTAATACAGTGTACCACTTTATTAATAGATGGCAGCACAATCCCACTTACTCTTGCCGGTGTAGCATCCAACAACTTCGAATCTCATGGCGATGGCATTGTGCCAGGTCTGTGGAACAACGCGGATGAACTGTGCCCTCATTGGGATCAGGAACTTGTTGTAGACAACAGTGTCACTGTCAGAGTTGCCAGTGAAGATCTGGAAAAGAGACAGGGTGCATATGTTTATATATTTTTGTAAATTTTTATCTTCATCTCATTTCTTTTATATATGTTTTTATCTTCATTTTTTTCTTTTATATGTTTTCATCTTAATTCCATTGCTTAATTCGAGTATATGTATATTATCATTTCTATCCAGTTTTGAAACTTTAACCTTGCAATTTATAAATCTAATTAAAATAATTAAATGAAGAACAGTTTTATAATCTAATTATTAATCATTATTGCCATAATCATTATTATACTATTATCACCTTTATTATTACCATTATCATCATCTCTATTTCCTTACCTTATCCACAGTTCCTTCGCGGTAAGTGTACCAGTGAACGCCATCAGAAGAGTAGTTGACCTTGAAAGACTCGACCCAGTTGGGTTGTCCGTAGCGACCCTGGGTGGCGATGCCGTGAATGGAGCCTTCCTGACGGAAGTCAATCTGGATCCATTGGTTCTTGTCATTGGTGGCTGAGATGAGAGAAGAAAGGAAGCATTAGTTTGTTTAACAAATAAACTGAAGTGAATAATAAGGGACCACAGGTGTAGTTGAACAATTCAAAATAATGATATCCTTTATATACATGTAGATATCTAGCTTTTTGAAAAAAAAAATCAACTACTGTTCAAAGCTATAAAAAAGTCATCATTTTTGATAATTCAACTGTCACTTTATAAATATACACAAATACATGTACCTCTGCAAAGGTTTTGATTAACTTAACTTAGTTTTTATCTGTAAATGTTCAAAACTGTTAAAAAAAGACTACCAATAAATTGCACATTATTTTGTTTTGATTTGTTAAAAAATTGATTCCCAATAATATTTATATCTTCTTTAATCAGTAAATATTTGAAATGATAAAAACAATGTCAGCGTACCTGCAACCCATCCGCCCTTGCCTCTGAAGCTGTCGACGAGGAAGAGACGAGCACGTTCTGGTCCGGAGGTCTTGTCGCGGGATCCAGAAGACGTGAACTGATCATCAGTGACGATGTTGCTGTCGTTCAGACCCATTGGGTCAGAGCATTCAGGGACTGGAGTTTTAGGGAATTGGGGTTAATTTAGGTTGTTTTATTTTACATTTGTGCAATTTGCACAAGCCACCATTGAAATTTATACACCTCTTGAAAATTTCGTTGGAAGACAATTCTTCGCAGATATTTTTCTTTTCACTTTGAAAATCTTGTCAAACTTGAAAATGGGCCACATCAATAATTTTGAAAAGTTTTTCACCTAATCTGTTTGCGNTGCAAAAACAATTTGCCACGACTGTTTTATATATTAATAGATATTTATAATAATGACAATTTCAAAATCTTCAAAAGTACCGATAGGGACACGAACTCCCGTCGGGTAGGTTGCAGACGACTCAACGACGTTAACCGTTGTTCCACCAATTCTATTGTTCACGCTAATAGATATCGACAGCTCTGTATTGCCGCGCATGCCGAAGCTTTGCGGAAATTGCCGAAGGCTAGGAAAATTCTTCAAAATATACTTTTATTACATTAAATCAAATCCAGACTATCTCCCACTACCCTGAGGTATGGCTAAAGGCTTTCAGTTGTCATCAGACTTTGTAATTTGGGAGAAAAAAGTGAAACAGTAACTTCTGGTGATGAATAATAGGTAATAGTGCTGCAAGGTGTTGTTTTTTATCCCTGATATACGAGCAGCTTTTTCTACAGTTTCTATAATTCTCTTAACGTATGAAAATATGCAGGTTTTCTGATATAATAAGACTTTGATAAAATCAAACCCAATAATACTTTTAAAGTCGAGAGTCGGGATAAATATCGGCAAGGTGGAGATATGTCCCGCCGGCGCTTCCGCAACAGCAAGACTGAAGGACGCAAGTTACAAAGCAAAACATGTTTAGTCAAGTTAAAGACTTAATTACCGGTTAAACTTCGGCGGCAGTGCCTACCGCTGTGAGCAACATGCGCTGTCCATCGTAATCCCCCTATCATTAACACTGTCGGGGACGTGCGCATTAGCGCGTCTGATGTAGACAGCGTGTGCTATTAAAGTGACCGGGGACTTATTAGCTATAGTGTATTTTTGTAAATTTTTATCTTCATCTCATTTCTTTTATATATGTTTTTATCTTCATTTTTTTATTTTATATGTTTTCATCTTAATTCTATTGCTTAATTTGAGTATATGTATATAATCATTTCTATCCAGTTTTGAAACTTTAACCTTGTAATTTATAAATCTAATTAAAATAATTAAATGAAGAACAGTTTTATAATCTAATTATTAATCATTATTGCCATAATCATTATTATACTATTATTATCTTTATTATTACCATTATCATCATCTCTATTTCCTTACCTTATCCACAGTTCCTTCGCGGTAAGTGTACCAGTGAACGCCATCAGAAGAGTAGTTGACCTTGAAAGACTCGACCCAGTTAGGTTGTCCATAGCGACCCTGGGTGGCGATGCCGTGAATGGAGCCTTCCTGACGGAAGTCAATCTGGATCCATTGGTTCTTGTCATTGGTGGCTGAGGTAAGACAAGAAAGGGAACATTAGCTTGTATAATAAATAAACTGAAGTGAATAAAAAGGGACTACAGGTGTAATTGAACAATTCAAAATGATATCCTTTATATACATGTAGATATTTAGCTTTTTGAAAAAAAAAAATCAACTACTGCTCAAAATTATTAAAAGAGAAGTCATCATTTCAGATAATTTAACTGTCACTTTATAAATATACACAAATACACATACCTCCGAAAAGGAAAAAACGCAAAGTCATCTGAACCATAAATCTCAAGTTTTTTATTAACTTTACACAAAAGTTTTAACCTGTAAATGTTAAAAACTGTTAAAAAAAGACCACCAATAAATTTCACATTTTTTTTATTTGCATACATCTATAACTTATAAAATTGATTCCCAATAATATTTATATCTCCTTTAATCAGTAAATATTCGAAATGATAAAAACAATGTCAGCTTACCTGCAACCCATCCTCCCTTGCCTCTGAAGCTGTCGACGAGGAAGAGACGTGCACGTTCTGGTCCGGAGGTCTTGTCGCGGGATCCAGAAGACGTGAACTGATCATCAGTGACGATGTTGCTGTCGTTCAGACCCATTGGGTCAGAGCATTCAGGGACTGGAGTTTTAGGGAATTGGGGTTAATTTAGGTTGTTTTATTTTACATTTGTGCAATTTGCACAAGCCACCATTGAAATTTATATACCTCTTGAAAATTTCGTTGGAAGACAATTCTTCGCAGATATTTTTCTTTTCACTTTGAAAATCTTGTCAAAAAAACTTGAAAATGGGCCACATCAATAATTTTGAAAAGTTTTTCACCTAATCTGTTTGCGTCAGATTGATGCACTTCAAAATATTAATAAAATTTAAAGTGATTAAGTTTTCAAGTTTTTCCCTTACCATTAACTTGAGGCAGTCAAGAGAGTTTGTAAAATGATGGGTATATATCAACTAAATATCACTTTTTGGTATATCATCGCACAAGCACTAACTTACTTTATTATAACAAGAACTGCAGCACTTTAAAGCCCATCTGTGAGAGCAAAACGGGTAAATTTGGTTTCAAATTTGATTTTTTTCTTTTTCTTTGACTTTGTAAATATTGGAATGCAAAAAGTAATTACAATTTTAGCAACTGTTGAGATGAAACTCTTATTGGAACTAATTTCCTAGACTTCTAGAGTTTTTTTTTAACCAACACGTACAAACACATTTTAACAATCTCTTTCTGGGCTAAATACAGAAATAGATTCAAATCATTGTGTGCTTTAATCATCTCAATTGGATGTTTATCCACTTCCAAGTCTGTCATGTGATTTTCTAAAACCAATTCAAGATCAGCAGTGAGACTATCTCAATGGTGACTTAAGCAAATAGCACCAACGAACCACAACAATAGGCTATTGGCATGTCACAGGAAAACATCATGTCGATTCTATTCCAGAAACTTATATTGTGCATTGGAATGTGCTGATGAAAATTTAAGATGGACCAGCAGAATTGATATAATATTGATATCTCAATACAGGAATATTTGAGGAACCAAGAAGGGACATTCCACAAAAAAAGGAAATAATTGAGTCATGTCAGTGACACACATTTTGTTTAATATTTGCATAATTTTGACTTGCACCATTATTTTCATTGTTTTATACTATAGAACCCTAAAATGTAGAAAAATCAACAGTAATTCAAAAGGGGATATAAAACACCTTAAACTACTTGAAATTAATAAAAATAGTAAACTTACATGGAATGACAACATTGAGAAAAGCAGAAATACACCAAGACAAAGAATTGAGAGCATTTTAACTCTTAGTATTAGCATCTGGTATGGCGAGGCTAAAGTGGAGGAGCGAAAAAAACTTCTTTAATATAATTGGGTGAAATCTCCTCCAACTGGATGGTATCATGAAAGACAGAATGGGGAAAACAAGAAAACGAATTATGGGAGATCCCACCCATCCACCAAACTCTTTTTAAATTTTTAACTAGCAATAGTAAACTAAGCTGACTTTTGAGGGCAGTAGTTTTTATCCCGAAGCAGTATCAAATTCTAATTCCACTTTTATGTCTTATTTATTAATATTTAAATGTTCATTTGTTTATTTCAATTTTTCATTCTCAAAGGAAAATGATTTGGAATACAAACTTATATTTATATATTTATTGGTTGAATTAATTCTTACCTGTGCAAAGCTGGTTTAATCAAAATGTGTGTGTCACTGGTGTTATTCAAATGTTCACTTTTTTGTGAAATGACACATACCATATGACATGCCATAAGCCTGGTTACTGTGTCAAAATATCCTTTAATTTATATTGATATTTTTGTTTTCCAATATGATAAACATGACTGTACATTAAATGGTTAAAAATAAATGGATAATTTTTTGACAGAGAATCAATACATAACAAAAGTTAAAATCAAAGAAATAAAAAAGGATGTTATCAGCTAGTGCAACAAATTGGAGCAAACAATAACATAATGAATAAAAGAAATAAAAAGAAAATAAATAAGATATTTGTGCATGAAAACTTACATGTGTACATAGTAGGTGTGATGTTTTTAACTTGGGTAACAGGGGTAGGTGGAGGTTCTAGAATAAATGTGCAGCAAATAAATAATAAAAATAAGCAGAAAGAAAGCTACAAATAAACGTCATAAACAAGGATCCATTTGAAGTGATTAAACTAAAATTGTGAAATTTTTGTTTTTGAGAAAAAATAAGATCTGTGATTGTTTGATCTTTCAGATTTGAAAATGTGATATGAAAAGATAAGGACTGCTGTAGCAGCTCTACCTTTTTATTTTAAGGATTTCTGTTTTAAGAGTGAACAAATCAAAATGTAAAACATGCCAAATATTATCATCATGACAAGTATCAGGTAGAATAATTTTTCCAAAACTTGCATTTATGTATTAAATATTCTAGTAATCAATCACTTCAAATGGTACCAAATTGTGCATAAAATAATAATATAAATGAAAGTTGCTTAAAAGACAAAATAAAGCAAACATAAACATGGTGGTGCAATGTGCGAAACAAGTGGAATATATCAGTGTGAAAAAATAAAACTATCGACTGAAAATAAAGGTGGGGTGAGTGTGCTCAAGGTCGTGACCTTGACCCATGTTTGACCCTGACCCTACGACGACCTACCCACAGTGATTGGTGTTGGATAACTGGGTCCAGCAGGTGTAGTATATTCATCTAAGAAAAGTTTATGTGAATTTAAGTTAAACTAAACCTATCCTTATAAAACAAAAGAATAATATATAAATTGCTTCATGCATACACTGTTACATGTATGACTAAAATTACTTATGCCAAACACAAGTGATATAAATAAATGTACTATATTTCTTTCACTACAGTTAACAAAAAAAAAGTATATTTGTATTGTGATATAGTATTTTTTTTTGACTGTATTGCTTTTAGACCAAACAATTCAATTTTGCCCAAAGATAATATTTAGATTAAAAACACTACTGAATCTCAAACTCATTGTCAATATTACTTGACAATGTGACATCTTGGGTCATAGTTTTCCTTTTGGGGTCAGTATGGTTCCACTGGGTTCGTATGGATTGAGAATCTTTACAAAATAAAGATAATTACCAATAACCCTGCCTTTTGACCTGGATTTGACCTTGATATCATATGACCTTGATATCATTACAAACCATGCAGCCAACAGTAAGAGTACCCATAATATGTATAACACCAAAAAAATGTTAAATGTGAAAATTAGCATCATTCTTACTTGTATCTTCTCCTGTTGGCAGAGATGGCTTACTGGAGGTGGTGGTGGGTTTGGTGGGTTGACCAGTGGTCACTGGAAAAAAAAAAAAAAACACCAACATTTATCAATTAAGTGGAATTAAAATTTACTTCAATGCTCACTACTTGCTTTTTGAGAAAAAAATGAAAATGAAAAAAAATTATATCAAAATAAATAGGCATATACTATGGAGAAAAAAACAAAACAAAACCATTATCACCTGCATTATCCATGTACACTTGTAAAGTGCAAAAATGTCAAGAATGACATGAAAATATGTTTGGGCATAAAAATATTGCAATTAAAATCCTAAAAATCCTAATGTACAGAAAAAGCTTGACAAAATGTTGGGATAAAAAATATACATGAAATTAAAGCATATATATATATATATATATATATATATATATATATATATATATATATATATATATATATATATATATATATATATATTTCTTTTTAGGCCATGGCATTTGTGACTATAAAAAGAAAATCCAAGGATGAAGAAGAATAGAAACTTCCAATGCAATGCCACACAATCCATAATTGCAAATAAATGTCAACTTGTAATAGTTACAAATATAACTGTAATTGAAAATTTTATAGAATAATTGACATACTTGTTGGAGTAGGTGTGTAGCAGCCATGGAGTTCGAAACGCAGACCATAGCCTTCGCGACCTGGGTGCATAGGCATGATACGGAAGTAACGAGCGTTGACTGGTGTGGACAGGATATTGCGGACAGGTGTCTCGCTATCCTCATTACCCTCAAATATCTGGAGTATAAAGAACCATTTTTTAATGTTTGTGAAATAATTTTTCATTGTCGCTTGTGTAAAGAAGGTTGAAAAGTTACTATTTTAAAATATTTATTCTATCTTTGTCAAAGAGAAATCAATAAGTCAATTACATGACATGCACACGACTCATCAAGGCACAATGTACACCTTTCATCTAAAGCACATATTGTCTATATATATATATTACATTAATTTTGTCTACTATTTTTAAATGCATCACATTCCTTTCATATTTCACAAAGGTATTATATATTTTTCTATTAAATGATTCATGATTTCAAGCTACTGTAATGTTTTTGTTTAGTTTTTGATGCCCTTCAGATAGGAATGAAATCAGTTTGAATTTCAAAAAAAATTATAGTCAAAATATGTGATTGTCATAACTATCAACATCACTAAATGTATTATTATATTGTTTAAGCTTTCCATTCACCTTAGCCAAGCCATTCTCGGTGTACAGAGTCCATGTCTTGCCATCAGTGGAATACTCAAACTGATAAACAACAGTGAAAGCTGGGAAGCTGTGTACTCCCTGGGTGGAAATTCCAGTCACTTCTACAACCTTCTGCATGTCCACCACGATCCATGGGCGCCTGTCGTTCTTTGCTGGCCTCCAGCCTCCTTCTCCGTGGCTTGTGCTCTGTGCACCGAAGCGGGCACGTGCAGCCTCGAAACGTGGCAGCTCAGAAGAAGCAGTGATCTGGCTGTCGCCAATCAATCCGGAGGTCATGCCCATTGGTTTGTCGCACTGTCCTGCAGGTGCTGGGAATATTGTAATGCATGGTAAGTATGGTAATAAATTTTCAAATGCCTTAATTTGCTAATATTTTAATTTTTTTAAAACAATTTTAAGCATTTTCAAAGACTTGAAAAAAAAAGACAACAAATTTTTCAGAACTTTCTAATCATCTCTGAAAAATATTACTGACGGAACATTTTTTAAAAGTAAATAAACAATGTAATCCACCAACAAATGCACTTATTGCAGCCACACAAAAAAAAATCCAAATAAATGCATAAATTTTGCGTTAAAAAATGTTTTTTGAATCTCCATAAAAGCATCAAGTATGAACACTTACTAGTAGCCACAGTTGGCACAGTTGGTCTGGTAGTGGATTCAGCAGTTGGTTCGTAGCAACCGTGGATCTCCACTCTCATGCCAATGGCATTCTGCCAGTCTGTGGGCTTGATACGGATGAAGCGGGCCCTGATGCCTCTGTCGAACCAGTTGGTAACTTGGCTCTCGCTGTCAGTGTTGGCAGCAAAGTTCTGTAACAGGTAAAATTATAGTCTAACACTTTATTTTTGGTTTATGTCAAACTCAAAAAACAGGTTTATAGAACACAATTTCCTTGTGATGCAGAGCAAATTGTTGAAAGTTTCAGGACTTCTTAATTTTTTTGCCATATTAAGAAATAATGAGGTATTTTTAAGATTTCTAATATGCAGGGGTTGTACTATTTCTCATGCCTTTGCTGGGAGATGGCAGAGTAGATGAAATGTGCATTTGTACAATATCATTGCAGATTTACTAAACTAATTTACTATTTTACATAATATCATAAAACAAAAACCCACCACAAGCTGTCCATTAACCTTGTATGGCAACCAGATCTTTCCATCTGTGGAGAACTCAACTTCGTAACTTCTCACAAACATTGGCAGACCGTAGCGTCCCTGGGTGGTGATTCCAGTCAAGGTACGTGGGGCAAGGAAGTCGATCTGGATCCATTCTCCGTATCTGCTCTGAGCTGGCATCCATCCACCGCTGCCATTACTGTCATCCTTGGTGGTCAGACGGCTGCGGCTTCCACCGAAGCGATCAGACATCTGAGAGCTGACGGTGATCTGGCTGTCGCTAACAAAACTCTTCTGTCCTGGCTGCATGCCCATCTTTTCCTTGCACAGCTCCATAGGTGGCACTGGTGGTGTCACCCCTGGGGTACTGGCAGGTGCTGGAGTGGATTTGGGCGTTGGCTCTTCGCGTCCTGGAATCTTAGGAGTTGGCGTTGGTGTGAGGTCAACAGATGGTGTTGCAGAGGGTGTTGGGTATTTCTGACCAGGTGTCTGAGTGGGTTCTTCACCACCAGATGGTGTTGAGGATGGCGTTGGGTATTTACTGCCAGGTGTTTGTGTTGGTGTTGGTTCCTCACCACCAGGCTGTGATGGGGTTGGTGATGGTGTTGCACCCACAGATGGTGTTGGTTCTTTGCCTGGTTTTGGCGTACCCTCGGATGGAGCAGGTGTGGGCTCGAAGCATCCTTGGATTTCGATTCTCATGCCAATTCCATTGACCCAAGAGAGAGGATGGATACGGATGTACTTAGCCTTGATGGCATTCTCAAAGAAGTTCCTCTTTGGTGTTTCAGGCTCGTTGTTTCCACTGAATACCTGTATTATAATATTGAAAAATTTCTTTTCAATTCAAAACTAAATGTATTTCTAACATATCTATACATAACTAATAACACATATTTTGTGGATTTTATGATAAATATAATTAAAAACAAAATAGAAAAAAGTTTATATACAACTTTTATTTTATTAAGTTAGAATCAACTGTTTTTGCTTGCATGTTTTTTTTTTTATTTTTACAAACAGCTTTCTTTGAAACTGTGCTCTTGAATTATTCTGTACAGAAACCCTTCAGGTGCATGTATTTTTTAACAAAGCACTAACTAAAACTGCTGATCAGAAATATTTTAAGCAGAATACTTCAGCAAAACAATTCTCAACTGATAAATGATACTGACCTTGACCTGTCCAGTGCTGTCAGTGACATGTGTCCAGGTGGCTCCATCTACAGAGTAGGTGACAGTGTACGACTGCACAAACTCTGGTCCCTGGAAGCGTCCCTGTGTAGTGACACCAGTCAGGATGCTTGGTTTGTAGAAAGCGACCTGTGAATGCAGGCATAAAAAGAATGAAATGTATTATATGAGAGGGCATGGTGCTTACACATGTACATTAACATTAACTTTCTGGACCTGTTAGGATTCTTTGCATTTGTCTGCTCATCAGAATAACGTTTGAGACATACCATAATTCAAGCTGTAAGATGACAAATTATGCAGATATAGTCTACAGTATTTAGTTAATAATAGAGATCAAGTGACCAGAGTCCAGTATCCACTCACCTGGAGCCATTGTTTCTGGTCATTCACACGTGGTGACCAGCCACCATAGCCCTTGGTGTCATCAACCTGGTAGAGGCGAGCACGCTGGGCGCCGTGATATGAGTCGCGCTCAGAGGATGCGGACAGCATGCCATCGACGATGAATCCATTGCTGACTCCCATTTCCTCAGTGCAGACCGGTACTGAAAGTGAAACATTTTTCAATTTCTTCGTGAAATTCAGTCAGTGAAAGGATCCATCAAAGTGCACTTTTGTAAATTATCAATCTTAAAGAACCTCTAAAAGATAACGTGTGTACTGTGATGTTGTTCAAAATCTGTGAGGCATTACCGTACACACTTACCCAGAGTTGTGGATGGATACAGTGTTGGTGTTGGTCCAGCAGTTGGAGATGGTGTTGGGTACATAGGTGGCTTAGCTATAAGATGCAAAAGGATTAATAATTAGTATATATATGTCAGGGTTTATCAATGTCAAAAGCATGAGTGAAAGTTATAAATAATGCAAATTCTGAAAATGTAGCTTGCAATTTCTTATCGCAGACCATATGAAAAAAACTATCAATATGAAGACTGAAAATCATGAAATCAGGCATAATCCTGAAAACTTTCACACACGCAAAAGGTATTTTTTCTCCGAAAATGTGTATCTTTTTCAACAGCTTTACTCAACTTTTTATGCATTGTTATACATTTATATATTATATATATTTGGGGACACTGACACCTGATGACAAAGCATGAATAAAATAAAAAACATAGGGTATTACTTTAAAGCTAAAAAACAATTGTCCCTATACAACAAATTACACTTACTCCTGCATCCCAACAACTCGACGCGTAGGGCAATGTGTTGGTTCCAGTCCTTGGGCTGCACACGCACGTAGCGGGCACGGAATGGAACGAACTTGTGCAGTACCTTCTTATCTCCATCGAAGTTGCCACTGAACAGCTAGAAAATAATAACAATACTAATTATAATAATCTGAAGAATAAGAACATAGATGCTTGTATATCAGAGGGTTGTGAAAACCAGATCTTAGTATTACAAATTATTATCTTATTTTTGTCCAAAATATGAGAAATAGAGATCCACAGTGTCATGATAATATGGACATGAGGCCTGCCTACCATAAAATTTCTCAATAAATAGGTGCTTCAAGTATATATATATATATTTCACTGTGTTACTTTTCTGTACCTTTGGTGTGTCTGGTTTCTCTTCATAACGGATGAAGTTCACGCCATCAGTGGAGTACAGTACATAGTAAGTCTTCACATATTGGTTATGACCTTCACGACCTTGAGTCACAATACCCTCAATTGTCTGCTCATGACCCAAATCAATCTGGAGCCACTGGCGTTCATTGTTGCTCTTGGCCAACCATGCACCTGTGCGTGATGCGGTCTCCTTGGTGTTAAGACGGGATCTGTCGGGGCCAGATCTGAAGTCAGCGGCAGACGAGGCAGTGAGACTTGAGTCTGGAACTGGGAAGAGGTTGTTGGCGACCATGTCCTGCTCACAGCGTTTCACTCCTGGTTCTAAAAATGAGTGAGATGAAAGAAAAATTGTAAATAAGTTGAAAACAAGATGTCAACTGGCTAAAAAAAATGAGTCTAAAATTGATTTCTGGCTTATCATAGGCACTCTGGAAACAATATATATGATATGTGTTTAGGTTGTGTGTGTGTGTGTTCACATCCAGGTTCTAGAATCTGTATGTTTCAAAGATTGCAGAACACAGCAGTAAAGTATAACATGACAATTTATAACAAACATTTTGAATGACAACAAGTGTAATATCACACATCCAGTTGAGATGACATAACTTTTTCTATTTTATTCTCCTTCTTAATTGGTTAAATGATATAAAAATAAGGTCTTCTCATAAGTTGTCAGAAATCAGTGATGACACAAGACTGGCATTGTTAGAACTTCTTAAATCCAGTAAAAATAATTAGAAAAAAACATGTCTATGTATTTAAATCTCTCTCATGTCCCCTACCTGGTACAGATGGGCTTGGTGTAGGTACAGACACAATGACAATGGTGCTGCTTGGGGTTGGAACTCTTGTATGGCCTGGCGTTGGAGTTGGTGTTGGTTCCTCTCCAGACTTGGGGGTGGATGGTGTTGGTTCCTCTCCAGTCTTGGGGGTGGATGGTGTTGGTGTCTCCATTCCTGGCTTTGGTGTCTTTCCTGGTGTTGGAACACTCTCAGATGGAGATGGTTTTGGACCTCCAAGAGTTGGTGTTGGCTCTGGTCCACTTGGGGTCTTGTCGGTTGGTTTTGGAGAGAGAGTTGGTTTCTGACTTGGTCCAGGTGTTGGCTGCTTCGTAGACACTGGTGGTGAAACAGTCTCCAGAAGGTCTGGTTTAGGAGATGGTGTTGATGAACCTTCAGATGGAGTTGGTTCTGGACCTCCAAGAGTTGGTGTTGGTTCTCCACTTGGTGTCTTGTGGGTTGGTTTTGGAGAGGCAGTTGGTTTCTCGCTTGGTCCAGGTGTTGGCTGCTTCTGAGTAACTGGTGACACAGGAGATGGTGTTGGTGAAGCCTCAGATGGTTTAGGCTCACCAGCAGTTGGCGTAGGCTGAGGTCCACCCACAAGAGATGGTGTCTTCTCAGAGGCAGTTGGAGAAGGTGTAGGCTCCTTGCCTGGAGTTGGTGTCTTGCCAATGCTGGGTGTTTTGCCTACTGTTGGTTTTGGAGTTGGTGAGCTTGTGGACTTCGGCTGAGCTGTAAAATAATTGATAAAAATAACCAAGGGAAGCACAAATGGCATCATTCAGGAAATATGCCTGTAGTTTTAAGTCAAATCAATCTAAATAGGTATATTGTTCAATATTCAAATCCCTTACTGTATCCATGGCTAGCAATATATGATTTTCTAAAACAATAATGCTGCAGATTAATTCCATAAAAGACAAATGACAGACACAGTAAATACAGTACTACTGATAATTGTTATTATGATTTCAGTTACAAAAAAAAAAAAAAAAAAAAAAATGAGCGAGAGCCAAGAAAAAACAAAATTAACACTTACGTGAGCATTCGCAGAAGTATCTGATCTTGAAGTCACCGCAGTTGAATTTTCCAGCATCCATGTTCTCCTTATTACTGCAGTACAATCCTTTCTCTAAACTGCAGGCACCTTCCAAGCTCATGTCTTCCCAGGGGGTATCCAAGGGCTCAGGGTCAGCAGTGCGACACTCAATGCTTGTCAGGCGGCCGTTCATACAGAACTGCATCTGGGCTCTCAACTCTTCCAGGGTCATCTTTTCATAGTCACCATTGGAGCTGTATCCTTCATAGTTGTTAATCCATGGAGACCAGTAAGCACATGTGGGTTCTGGAGTTGGGATCTTGCTGGTCAGGTATGGTGGGATCTTTGTGATGGTTGATGGAGAAGGTGATGGTTCACCCTGTGGTGTTGTTTTGCGTTCTTCTGGCTTCTTGGTTGATGGTTCTGGTGAAGGAGTTGGCTCACCTGGTCTTCTAGTTGGTGGAACTGATGTCTCACCCTCTGGTGTTGGGGAAGGTGTTGGTCCACCTGGTATTTTAGATATTGGGACTGGTGTCTCACCCTCTGGTGTTGGGGAAGGTGTTGGTCCACCTGGTATCTTTGTTGTTGGAACTGGTTTCTCAGTCTCTGGTGTTGGGGAAGGTATTGGCCCACCTGGTCTCTTAGATGTTGGAACTGGTGTCTGACCCTCTGGTGTTGGAGGTGTTTCACCAAAAGGCACCTTTGTTGTTGGTCTTGGTACCTCACTACTTTTGCCTGGTGTTGGTGTTGGTTCTCCAGGTTGACCTGGTGTTGGAGAAGGAGTTGACTGGCCTTTAATTGGTGGCACTGGTGTTGACTCACCAATGGGCAGTCTGGTAGTAGGCACTGGGGATCCAGATTCTGGTGTTGTAACCTTTGGAACTGGGGTCTTCTCACTTGGTGTTGGCTTACCAAAAGGCTCTCCAGGAGTGCTTGGATGAGGTACCCCTGGGGTGCTTGGTTTTGGAGAAGGTGTTGGTTGGCCAGGTGTGCTTGGCTGAGGAATCTTAGAGCTTGGTGCAGGTGATGCAGTTGGCTCTCCTGCTGGTCTCTTACTAGTTGGTTCCGGTGTCTGTCCAGTTTCACTTGGTGTTGGTGAAGGTGTAGGCTGGCCTGGCTTGCCTGGTGTAGGTGAAGGAGTGGGTTCAACACCTGGTTTTGCAGAGGTTGGGACTGGTGTCTTACCAGACTCACTTGGTGTTGGGGATGGTGTCTCACCACTTGGCTTAGTAGGAGAAGGAGTGGATTCAACACCTGGTTTTGCAGAGGTTGGGACTGGTGTCTTACCAGACTCACTTGGTGTTGGGGATGGCGTCTCACCACTTGGCTTAGTAGGTCCTGGTGTTGGCTTGACAGGTGGACTGGCAGTTGGAGTGCCTGGCACCTCTGCAGATGGAGATGGAGATGGGGTTGGTGCACTGCACACCTGTCCCTTTGGTTCACAGAACACACGGATCTCATAGTCATAACATTCCTTCATTCCCATCTGCCTGTCATTGGAGCACAAAAGACCATTGTATTTGAGGTCACACATCACATCAGTGTTGTCAGTCTTGTCATAAGGCATGTTGGTGCCCTCACGACGACACTCAATAGCAGTGATGTCCTCCTTCTCACAGTATTTGTTGTCATCCAAGAGATCAGAGATCAGCTCAAACTCTCCACGATATTCTGGCTGGTGTCCATTATACCATGGGGTCCATCCACAAAGGGTAGGGGTACCAGTGCTTGGAGATGGTGTTGGCTGGCCAGATGTACCTGTTGGAGGTACTTCTGTGGGCTCTGGCTTTGGAGATGGTGTTGGCTGGGCAGAGGTACCTGATGGAGGTACTTCTGTGGACACTGGTTTTGGAGATGGTGTTGGCTGGCCAGAGGTACCTGTTGGAGGTACTTCTGTGGACACTGGTTTTGGAGATGGTGTTGGCTGTCCAGGAGTGCTAGGTTGAGGCACTTTAGTGCTAGGCTCTGGTTTACTAGTTGTTGGTCTTGGTGATTCTCCACTCTTGCTTGGGGTTGGAGTTTCTGGCTGAGCTGGCGTTGGTCCTTCAGTTGGTTTAACTGCTGGAGTCTTGGAGGTTGGCTCTGGTTTCTGAGTAGGTTCTGGTGTAGGAGATGGCTTTGGCTTCTTCGAGGTTGGTTTTGGTGCCTCTGCTCCCTGGGTTGGTTTAGGTGTGGGTCCAGAGCTGAGAGTTGGTGATGGAGATTTTGGCTGGCCTGGTGTTGGAGTCTCAGTTGGTGCAGTCTTAGATGGGGTTGGCTGCCTGCCTGGTGTCACATGTGGAGACACAGTCTCGATAGGATGTCCTGGAGTGGATGGTGTTGGAGGCTGCTCGACTGCAGTGGTGGGTTTGGCCACTGGTTTGGGGCAGGAACAATACATACGGACTTCATAATCATAGCATACACTCTGGTCAGGTAAACCTGGAACCATCTGGTCGATGTTTCGACAAGCAAATCCAGTCTGGGTGTCACACTTCAGATTCATCTGTCCTGTGCTATCGAAGCTTGTCACCTTACCCAAGTCAGCAGGATTGGCAGTTCTGCATTCAATCTTGGTGACGACCATACCCTGCTTGTTACAGAAGTTGTAAGTTTGACGGATAAACTGGATATTTTCGTAATCACCATCGCTGTTCTTTGGACTATTGCTGTTGAACCAGCCAGACCACATGTCACACTTCACTGGTGCTGTGCTTGGTGTAGGCTTGGGTGTTGGTTTCTCAACCAAAGGTGGAGTCACAGTGACCTTGCTTGGTGTCTTAGATGCATCAACTGGTGGGGATGGTGTTGGCTCACCAGTTGGTTTCAAAGTAGGTGTGCCTGGCAACTTAGAGGGTTCAGGTGTTGGGGTACCAGATGTTTTTGTTGGTGGCACTACAGTCTTCTCAGACACTGGTCCTGGGGATGGTGTCGGTTCTCCGCTCTTAGATGGAGGCGTTGGCTGACCTGGGGTTGGAGAAGGTGTTGGCTCTCCAATCTTACGTGTAGGTGTTGACTGACCTGCTGTTGGGGAAGGTGTTGGTTTTCCTGGTTTTCCTGGCGTTGGTGTTTCCTCACCTGCGGGGGGAGATGGTGTTGGCTCTCCAGTCTCAGATGTAGGTGTTGACTGACCTGCTGTTGGAGATGGTGTTGGTTCTCCTTGTTTTCCTGGCGTTGGTGTTTTCTCGCCTGGGGTTGGAGATGGTGTTGGCTTTCCTCCAGTGGTCACAGTGGGTGTTCCCTGGCCAGCAGATGGAGATGGTGTTGGCTCTACACTCACTGGTTTGCCTGGAGTTGGGGTTGGTTGACCTTCCTTGCCTGGTGTTGGAGATGGTGTTGACTGACCACTAATTGGTTTGCCTGGGGTAGGGGTAGGAGTTGCCTCTGGTCCCGTTCCTGGGGTTGCAGATGGTGTCTCACCAATAGATGGTGTTGCAGATGGAGATGGTGTCTTCTGCACAGGTGTTGGAGATGGTGTCTTGCCTATAGATGGTGTTGCAGATGGTGTTGGTCCCTTCACAGGAGATGGTGTCTTCTGCCCTGGTGATGGTGATGGTGTCTCACCAATACCGGGTGATGGAGATGGTGTTGGACCCATGCCTGGAGTTGGTGTAATCTTTGGCACACCTGGAGTAGCAGTTGGTGTCTCCTGTCCAACATGTGGGGTGGGTGATGGTGTTGGAGCTGGTCCCTTCGTTGGTCCTACTGTTGGTGTTACGGCCTTTGCAGTGGAAGTAGGGGCTGGTGTTGGGCAAGCACAGAAGAACCTGACTTCATAGTCGTAGCAGCCTCCTGGGTTGTCGGCATTCAAGCACTGCAGGCCGTTGACCATGTCACATGTGCCGACCTGTTTTGTGTCAGCCAAGGATTCAGATCCTCCACGGACCTTGCATTCAATACGTACTGGGTTCATGCAGAACTTGTTTGTGGCACGGATGCCAGAAATACCCTCAATGTCACCTGGGGCGGACTCTGGAGAGTCAACACTGATCCAGCTTGTCCATCCACATGGGTGTTCCTTAACTGTCTCAGGGGTGGTCTTAAAAGCAATAAATAATTATTATAAATAATGTTAACTGAAATGATAAAAACTAACAATTGAATTTAAAGGAAATTAGAAAAGATAAAACTTCTATAAAGCATGTTTCTCAAAATTATTAATAGAAAACAGAATAAAAATGTTGTTTTAAACAATGACACTACAGAACAATATAGATTTATTTGGATTTGGTGGTTTAAAAGGATTTCTAAAGGTCAATAATGCTAATTCCTAGGATTTCCTTTTACTTTATTTCACAAAATGTCCCAAAACTTTTCATTTTACTTTTTATCTCTTTTTATATAAAACTTTCTGAAGTCAAGTTGGAATACAACTATAATGAACCCACCATCACTTTAAAATATTCTGACAAATTCCTTAAAATATTTGCTTTCTTCTCTTCTAGGAATAGAATCATTAAATACCTTAGATGTCGTAGGCTCAACAGTTGGTGGTTTGTGTGTTCCACATGTCTCATCCTCAACACATACAATCTTGGTTCCCATACAGGTACATTTGGTGCACTTCTCTTGTGGGTGCTCCCAAACTTCTCCGTACTGAAAGAAAAAATAACTTTTTATTATATCCATATTCTTTATCAATTATGGGAGCTGTAACATGCACACATTCAACTCATGTGTTTGTTTCATGCACTACATAAACCATCAACTATAATTTGATTTAGCAAATAGGGCACCAGCACAATTTTATAAAAGAATATGACCTCACTTTTGTGAAACAAATACCTATACAATGGATACTTGCATTGTATAAATGTGTTTCATATACTACACAATGAGCACAAGCCATATCAATCATTATTCTCACAGTAACATCCTTAACAGCGACCTTATTCTAGATACCAATAAACTTGATACAAGGCCCTTGATATTTTAGAAATCTATCCAGCAACATTTCACCTTGCGACAGTAGATTTTTTAACCCTGGTGATCTGAAAGACCAGTAAGCTAAACCATTTTTTCGGACTGTCACTTACCTTAGCTGGAGTTCCATCAGGCTTCATGCACGTGCATTCCTTCTCCTCCACGCATTTATCTCCATCCTGTGACAGACGTGGGGCAGAGCACTCCACGGGAGGTCTGCATGCTGGCACGCACTTGGTTGGATCCTTAGGCAGGCAGCGTCCCTTCTCCTTTATGATTTTGTCCTTCATGTAGTGGCACATCTGGTCACATTTGTAGGCACAGGAGTCCCACATCATGCCTGGCACGCAGACAGCTGTAAAAACACAGGGGTTGGGGTGTGTAAAGAATGATACTCAAGTTAACTAGTAGGATATGATTTTTTGACAAATGTGCAAAGAATTGATACTATTGCAATTTATTCAATTGTTGAATTAGAGTCAGTGCCAAAATAAGTTGAAAGCATCTGATATAAAGACTTTTGTTAAATGTTCAAGAAATTTTTATTTTATAGGTGAAAAATAGTCCTTCCTAATTGAATCAGTAACTTATTCATCAAAAACTGTTTACTTAAATGTTACAAAATAAGAAACACATTTAAATACCAACTGCCTTCATTGAATAGTTCAGTTTCTCAACCAAACTAAGATAGCAAATCACCATAATGTTCTTGTTGAACATGTATATAATGCTTAGGTCATAGTCATTGCAAGTGAACTTTCAGCAAAAATAAATAACTTTAAATAAATAAATAAAATAAAATAAAACAAAATAAAAAGAATACATGATTTTGGACTTATGAAATAAAAAAAAGATGAAGGAATGGCTCAGTGGCATCACAACTAGGGGTCTAGAGACTATTTAAGTTGGAAAAGACCAGAATATTTTTTTCTGATTTAAAATTTAAAAATACCTGTCAGAAACAGGTTGATGAATAAAAATAATGCTCACGTGTAGATACGGGTGTGGGTGATCTGGATGGAGTGGCACTTGGAGCCAGAGATGGGGTGACTTTCTTGGTTGTTGGAGCTGCAGTTGGTGTGCCTTCTGAAATTTATAAAGAATTTGAGCTAAATGATTCTGTAATTTACATACCTATTCACAGAGTTTGTCATATGCAATGTTAAAGCAACCATAAAATGATATTCTCACTAGTTTGCATTCCAAAAAAGATTTCAATATCTAATTTAAAAGAGTACTTATTGACAGATTGCAATTTTGTTGACTAATTAAATTGCAAACAGATTGACATACTTCTTACTCTTGGACCAGGTATATTAAATTCTATTAAATGTCATGTTATATTCCAAAAATATTCAAAAATGTGTTTTAGACAAGGCAATAAAATAGGCCTTATATACAAAGCAATACTAAAGTTTTCTTACCACACTTATCATCCCAACAAAGCACACGTACTTCATAGTCAAAGCACTGTCCGCCATCTTGTTCCTGGTTGAAGCAACGCAGACCGTTGTAAATGTCACAAGAGACATCATTCTGTCCAGCAGCACTTACAGGTGTATTGCTATTAGCAATTCTGCATTCAATATTCTTGATATTCTTGCAGAGTCCGTAAGTCTTCTTCAAGGTCTCGATGGTTTCCATGTCACCAATACTGCCTGGAGTCTGTGGGTTAGCTGCGTTCAGCCATGTTGACCACTGGCAGTATGGGAAGGTTTTGGCAGGTGGGCTTGGCGTGGGTTCCTTAGTTGGTCCTACTGGTGGTTTTACAGTTGGTTTTTCACTTGGTTCCGCAGATGGAGATGGCGTGGGTTCCTTAGTTGTTCCTGCTGGTGGTTTTTCAGTTGACCCCACAGATGGTGATGGCGTGGGTTCCTTAGTTGGTCCTACTGATGGTTTTACGGTTGGTTTCTCAGTTGGTTCTGCAGATGGCGATGGTGTTGGTGTGCCTGTCTTTACAGGTGGGGAGACAGTCTCAAGAACAGATGGGGATGGGGAAGGTGTGGGCTGCCCTGGTACACCACCTGGTGTTGGTGTTGCTGTTCCTGGGGTAGGAGTGCCCTCTGGTTTAACTGATGTTGGCTGAGGTTTCTTGCCCTTGGTAGTTTTTGGTTCGGCACCAAAAGGAGTTGGTGTTGGTTTTGGTGTTGGTGTTTCTTCTGATCCCTTTGTTGGTGTCTCACTACCAGCAGATGGAGATGGAGTTGGTGGTTGATTAACTCCCTTTGTTGGTGTCTCACTACCAGCAGATGGAGATGGAGTTGGCATTTCTGTTGTTTCTTTTGGTGGAACTTTGGATGACACAGATGGAGATGGAGTTGGCATTTCTGTTGTGCCCTTTGGTGGAACCTTGGATGGCGCAGATGGAGATGGAGTTGGTGGTTCTTCTGTTTCAACTGTTGGAACCTTGGTTGAGGCAGATGGAGATGGAGTTGGCTTGAGAGTGGTAACTGGGCCTGGTTTTTGTGTTGTCTCAGTTGGAGCAGCAGTTGGTGTTTCTGTGGTTAGAAACATGAGCATTTGGTCAATTTCATAGAAAAAGAAAGTTATTAGCAGCATTTTCATTACAAGGTTTTTCATCCTTATAATCTATATAACATTCTAAAATATTTTTTTATAATCCTACCGTAAAAATTACATCTATGTAATATACTCCGATTTTAAAGGATTGAGTTAACAAAATTAAGTATTGAGCTCAGGAATACAGAATTTTAAAACACTCATGTAAAGTAGACAGTATGAGCTTCAAAGTTTAAACAGAAAACTGAACAAAATTCCTGATGTATGAGTGTTGAGGAAGAGATGAAATTTCTGTTCTTACTTGAACAAAACAAATGGATATTTAAAATCCAAATATCCACTTTAAACACATCTTACCTTCACACTGACAGTAGTAACGGATCTTGTAATCCTCACATTCCATCACTGTACCATCAAACAAACGGTCAGCAGTACAAGTCAAACCATTGGTCACATCACACTGGACATTCTGTCCAGAGGAGTAGTATACTGTCCCATAGATGGTGCGACATTCAATCTTGCTCACACTTCCTCCAACACAGAACCTGGCCAACTGTTCCGGAGACAGCTTCTCATGGTCGTCTCCAGTGGTGAATGGCTCGTGGTCATTAATCCATGGTCCCCAGCGGCTTGTCTTGCAGGTGGGTGTTGGTGCCTTTGTGGTCTCTGGCTTAGGAGATGGTGTTGGTGTCTCACCACCCTCTGGTGTTGGTGTCTTAACACCTGATGTTGGAGATGGGGTTGGTGTCTCACCACCCTCTGGTGTTGGTGTCTTAACGCCTGATGTTGGAGATGGGGTTGGTGTCTCCTGTCCACCAATGGATGGAGTCTTTCCTGTTGCAGTTGGAGTTGGAGATGGAGACGGAGATGGGGTCTTCACTCCAGAAATGGATGGTGTCTTGCCAGGTGTTGGTGAGGGTGTTGGCTCACCAGGTACAGGTGGCTTCACAGTTGGCACCTTGTCTGGCTTCACAGATGGTGAAGGAGATGGAGTTGGTACCTCTCCACCAGTTGGTGATGGTGTCTTCTGGACAGCTGTTGGGGATGGGGTTGGTGTCTCTTCTCCAATAGATGGAGTCTTTCTGCCAGGAGTTGGGGTGGGTGTATTCACATCACCAGGGCTTGGAGATGGAGTAGGGGATGGTGGAGTGGGTGTGTCTTCTCCCTGAACAGGTGGAGTTTGACCAGGTGTTGGACTTGGAGTTGGGGATGGTCCGGATGACACTGGTGGCTTCACAGTTGAAACTTTGGGAGAAGGTGTAGGTGATGGAGTCTCGCAATTCTCATCAGGCTTGCAAGCTACTCTGATCTCGTAGTCGTGACATTCGGTGCCCATAACCTGGCGCTCATTGTCGCAGAGCAGACCCTTGAGGCGACCATCAAGTGTGCAGGACACAGCCTGGCCAGTTTGGTCAAACATGGTCTTGGTCACAGCATCACGGCACTGAATGTCCATCAGCTCTGACATTGCACATGGCAGGAGGCCATCATCAATCATGTCACCAACCAACTCTAGGTCACCACGAGGGAAGGTGCCAGGATTATTCTTGCTTGTCCACGGGCTCCATTTAGGCTCACATCCCTTCGATGGAGTTGGAGTTGGGGTGCCTTCAACTGGTGGACTTGGTGTTGGTTTTTCAGTTGGTTTAGGAGATGGAGTTTCCTCCTTAGTTGGCTTAGGTGTGGGTGTCTTGGTGGTACCCTCTGGTTTCTTAGTTGGGAAGGAGGGTCCTGGAGTTGGCTCTTTAGATGGTTCAACTGAGGGTCCAACTGTGGGCAGAGAAGGCTTGGGTGTTGGCTCCTTGGATGGGGCCACAGAAGGCTCCACTGTTGCCACAGATGGGGATGGTGTTGGAATCAGAGTTGACAAAGATGGCTGCTTCACGTTGCATCCCAGTACTTCAAACCTCAAGGCAGGGAAGTCGTGCCATGCAAGTGGCTCAATACGAATGTACTGTGCCATTATCTCTCTGTTAAAGAGATTCTGCATTGGTGTGTCCTGATCACTGTTGCCTTCAAACACGGTTGGTTTCTCACCAATGACGTCTGTGTAGGGGACGAAGGTGACACCATCCACGCTAGTTGAGACAGTAAATCTTGTTACCCAGTGTGGGTAATCCTGGCGACCCTGTGTCAGGACTCCAGTGATCTTCTCTGGTTGCTTCAGATCAACCTGGATCCATTCACCAACCTTTGCAAATCTGGAAAAACAGGTATGAAAAAATACTTACTATCGAATCAAAATTAACAATTTTTTTCAAACATGGGATCATTCCCTTACTATTAAGTGATTTCTTATAGGACAATTGCATTCGAGGAAATGAGTATGGCTTGAACTTCAAAATACAGCTTAAAGACAGCAAAAACATCACTGATTCAAGGTGACAAAAATGTGAACTTTATATTGTATTCTCTTTGTTATATTCTTAAACAGCCCAACTGACAACATTTTTAAAAAGTGTAAGCAATATAATTATGTTTTTTATATATATACGTTTGTTTTTTTTTACCTTGGTGACCATCCTCCAGCCAGTGCGCCATCTACCTTTGAGTTCAGTCTAGCACGTTCTGGGCCAGTGGTGAAGTCGTAGGATGTAGAAGCAGAAAACTGATCCACAGACACAACCTTCTGGTTGGCGACACCCATGGGTTCCTTACACAGCGTAGTTGGTCCTGGAGTTGGAGTTGCCGTTGGTGCTGGGGTTGGAGTTGGTGGCCGAGTTGGCTTCGTTCTCGTTGTCTTTGGAGCTATATCCAACCTCTTGGTTGTCTTCACAGTTGAGGCAGTTGGACTGACAGTAACCTCAGTTGTTGGTGTAGGTGCACCCTCACTTGGGGTTGGTGTCTTGGTATCAAACTTGCCTGGTGTTGGGGTGGCTCCTGTGACAGGCTTGCCTGGTGTTGGAGTTGGTTCACCAGGAACTGGGGTTGCACCTGTTGGGGTTGGTCCTCCAGAGACGGTTTTGCCTGGTGTTGGAGTTGGCTCACCACCAGGGACTGGGGTCTTGCCTGTTGGAACTGGTGTTTCTCCCTTGAATGGTGTTGGGGAAGCAGTGGGGGAGCCAGGGGTGGATGGTTCAGGTACCTCAGTCTTTGGACTTGGTGAAGCTGTTGGAACACCTACAAACAATAATGTGGCAGTGTTTCATATAAACAATGACCATTTCGTATGATAAACAACTTTACCCCCAACACATAGCCATCTGTAAATAATTGTGCAACCAATACTTTAACATTTACTTCTCTTTCAATTTTGACTAACGCTATATGAATAAACAATACTCATCATTTATTCTTTAAGTCAACAATTTGATTTTCCACTTTCTAAGATGCACTAAATTAAAGGATAAGGAAGCATTTATTACTTTTACTACATTGAATAGTCTTAGATCAAACCAGATTAAAATTTTTTGATTTTTTTTTCGTTTACTTTAAACTTTTGTAATAGGGCCCAGGCCTGCACTTGATGACAGTGACAATTTTCACAGATGTGAACCTACCTGGAGTTTTTCCAATTGGTATGGATGTCTTAGCTGTAGGGGATGGTGTTGGTTTGCCCTCTGTGCCTGCTGTTGGTGTGCCTGTCTCAGATGGTGGAGATGGTGTAGGCTCGCTAACCCCTCCCTTTGTGGGTGTTTCCTTCTCAGGTGTAGGAGATGGTGTTGGTGTACCCTCTATGCCAGGGGTGGGTGTGCCAGTCTCAGATGGTGGAGATGGTGTAGGCTCACTGACTCCACCCTTGGTTGATGTTGGCTGGCTCCTTGATGGTTCAGGAGTTGGCATCTTGCTTGGTACTGCTGTTGGAATAGAAGGCTTCAAGCTAGATGGCATAGGAGTTGGTGTGAAAGTCTTTCCAACAACTGGGGTCTTGCTCTCTGTGGTTGGCTCCTTTGTTCCTGGGGTCCTTTCTGTCCCTGGGGTTCTCACAGGGGAGGTAGGTGTTGGGGCAAGGGTCTCCTTGGTGAAGGCCGTGGCTGGGGTCTTCTTGGCTGGGGCCGTGGGAGTTGGCTTCTTGGGGGTTCCTACAGATGTCTTGGTTGGTGTCTTGTCTTCACCAGTTGGAGTGGGTTTCGCTGTGGGTTCTGGCGTGGGTTTCAGTGAGGGTTGCGGTGTGGGTTCCCCTGCAGATATAGAAATTCAATTTCTAAATTTCATTTTACCTAAGTTTTACATGTTGCCTAGATTTTGAAAGTATATATATGACACAATACATTAATGCTGTTACTTACTGTGTATGTCTTACTTTTAAGATTTCATTTTACTACAATTAAAAATATGACTCCAATACTATAAAAAAATGAATAAAGACATTCATATTAAGTTGGCTTATGATAAAGGTTTTCAAATTCAATTACACTTATGCATAATGTGTCTAGAGTACTGCATTTTACGGTAAAAATAGTAAATCACTACTAAAAAAGACATTTTGTGTTGTGTACCTTTAAGACATGATCCCTCATAAAAGGACCTTGATTATGAGTAACTTGTCAATTCTCTTTTTAAACCATTTCACAGAAATATTGACAAACCTACTTAACCAATAGCAGCCAAGTTAATATAATTAACAACACAATCAACTTACCACAGAGACAGTAGAAGCTAACTTGATAGTCGCGGCACTCCTGCATCTGGGATGACCTACATTCCAGTCCATTAAGATCACAGGTCACGTCCTGACCAATCTCTTTGAAGTCCTTTCCAGTCATCACGTCGGTACACCTCACATCCATCACCTTCATGCAGGTGTAGGGGTATCCAGGCAGAGAGGCGACAGTTTCGCGGTCAATACCATCAGCCTTGGGGCTGTGCTTGTTGACAAATGGAGTCCACCCTGGTACACAGATTGGTCCTGCACTTGGAGATGGTGTAGGTGTTTCATTAATGACGATAGATGGCGTTCCTGTCACTGGTGATGGTGATGGAGTTGGGACCTCAGTTGAGCCATGTAAACCAGGGGTTGGTGTTGGTGTGACACCCTCTGGAGGTGTTGGTTGTCCTGCAGTTGGGGAAGGTGTTGGCCCTCCTGGTTTTCCTGGGGTTGGCGTTTTCTCAAATGGGAAAGGAGAAGGTGTTGGCTTTTCAGTCTTAGATGTAGGCGTTGACTGGCCTGGAACTGGGGATGGTGTTGGCTCTCCAATCTTTGATGTAGGCTTTGACTGACCTGCTGTTGGGGAAGGTGTTGGTTTTCCTGGTTGTCCTGGTGTTGGTGTTTTCTCTCCTGGGGTTGGAGAAGGTGTTGGCTCTCTGGTCTTTGATGTAGGTGTTGACTGACCTGGAACTGGAGATGGTGTTGGTTTTCCTCCTGTGGTCACAGTGGGTGTTCCCTGGCTAGCAGATGGAGATGGTGTTGGCTCTGGTGTCTGCACACCACCCTTTGGTGGAGTTGGTGTTGGTTGGCCTTCCTTGCCTGGTGTTGGAGATGGTGTTGGCTCTGGTGTCTGCACACCACCCTTTGGTGGAGTTGGTGTTGGTTGGCCTTCCTTGCCTGGTGTTGGAGATGGTGTTGGCTCTGGTGTCTTCACACCACCCTTAGGTGGAGTAGGTGTTGGTGTTCCCTCTGGGCCTGGTGTTGGAGTTCCCTCTGGGCCTGGTGTTGGTGTTCCCTCTGGGCCTGGTGTTGGTGATGGTCCCAAGCTTACAGATGGTGTCTGCTCCCCTGGAGTTGGTGAAGGTGTAGGCTCACAGATACAGAACATGCGGACTTCATAGTCAAAGCAAAGGCCATCGTCTTGCAGGGCACCCTCGCAAATCACACCGTGGTTAGGGTCACAGATGACACCCCTCTGGCCAGCTTGTTCCAGTGGGATGCCCAGTGGGTTCTGGGCATCTGGCTTGACGCGACACTCAGCCTGAACTGGATTGCTGCAGAACTTGTACTGTTTGCGCAGGGCATGGATTGTGTCAGAGTCGTCACCCTCGTTCTCTGCGGGGTTGGTGACACTCATGTAGTCAGTCCAGCCAGTCTTCAAGCAAGTTGTGGACACTAAAATTAGTGAAAAAAGAAAATTGCAAATTCTGTACACATATTTAATCAATCATTTATCACTCAGGGACCACACTTAGTTAACTCATCTACAAAACAAATCTACAAATCTGTTACAATCTATCTCAATTTAAGGTTCTGATGGTTCAATCATTTGACTTGAGTCACGTTTTTCATATCGAGGACTTGCTAGTGAATTCTGTTAACTTTCTGCAATTACCTGGTGCTACAGTAGATGGAGTTGGCTCTGGTGTGGGCTTTGAAGTGGGCTCTGGAGATGGAGTCACACCTGGTGTTGGTGCCACAGTTGCTGAAGAAAATAATCAATGTACACATTATCATGTTTGTAGGACTCTATGTTAAGATAGGCTCAACCTTTTTTAACCTTAACCTTTTTTTACAGGATTACAATTTCCAGCAGATATATGTATTTCAGTAAATTCATTTTCTAATAATATAACAGCACAAAGGATGCTTGAAGATCAACAGACAGGAAAAAGTTTTCATAATCCTCATTTTCCCATGCTATTTTTAATAATTTTTACAAACTAGTCAAATACAAAAATATCTCCAATTAATGAAACAAAGACTTAAACTGTACTTACGTTCACAATCACAGAAGAAGCGGACCTCGTAGTCACGGCAACCATCAGAGTAGTCATCATTATTACAAACAAGACCCTCTGCGACATCACAAGTGACACTGTCCTGACCTCCCAGGTGGTACATAATCTTTGTTCCAGCAAGACGACATTCGATGCTGCTTGGTCTGGCACAGAAACTGTAGTACTTCCTGAGTTCCGTCACCAATTCCTTGTCACCAGGTCTTGGAGAGGAGTCGTCCTCACCTCCCTTTGGTGAGTCGATGTTCATCCAGCGAGTCCAGCCATGATGGGTGCACTTCATTGGTGGGTAGGTCACAGATGGTGTTGGTACAATGGTAGTGACGGCGGGAGATGGTGTTGGAGTTCCCTCTTGGCCTGGAGTTGGTGTTGGTGGTTTGACAGTCTTCAGAAGGTCTGGCTTTGGTGATGGTGTTGGTTCTACACTGGGACCAACAGATTGGGTCTTCTTGCCTGGTGTTGGAGATGGTGTTGGCTCACCACTGGGGCCAACAACTGGTGTCTTTGTGCCTGCTGTTGGAGATGGTGTTGGTTTCTCACTGGTGCCAACAACTGGTGTCTTTGTTCCTGGTGTTGGAGATGGTGTTGGCTCACCACTGGGGACAACAACTGGTGTCTTTGTGCCTGCTGTTGGAGATGGTGTTGGTTTCTCACTGGTGCCAACAACTGGTATCTTTGGTTCTGGTGTTGGAGATGGTGTTGGCTCACCACTGGGGACAACAACTGGTGTCTTTGTTCCTGCAGTTGGAGCAGGTGTTGGCTTAGCACTGGTGCCTGGTGTTGGAGTCTCGGTAACAACAGAGGGCTCTGGTGTTGGTGTTCCCTCAATAGATGGTGTTGGTGTTTCCTTGCTGACAGGTGGAGCCACGGTGGTTGTTCTGAGACCAGGTGGAGGGATGGTGACTGTTGGTGGTGGTGTCATCACTAATCAAATCGAACAAAATAAAAATTTAAGTATAATATAAGCAACTTGTATGCTAACTGTACTTACCATTTGAAACTTTTTGGCAGCTGGTGTCTGGGAAAATATTGAACTCTGTATAAAAATATCTAAATGATGGGATCTGGCAAATATGACACAAAAAGTTCCATCAACTTTCGCCATTATTATTATTATTATTATTATTATTATTATATGTATATGTACATTTTATTACTATGTACATGTATTTAAACTTAAGTACATTATAATTAGTAGTGTAGAGAGCCTATAAATGTACACTCATTTCATGTGCTCAATAAATCATTATTATTATTATTATTATTATTATTATTATTATTATTATCATCATCATCAAATCAGCTTTTACCTTCTGTTCTGCATCCAATGACATCCAGTCTCATACTGACAGCGCCGTGGTAAGACACGGGGTTGATGCGCAGGCAGCGGGCCAGCAGCTTCTTGTTGAATGTGTTCTCAACTGGTGTGCTCTGGTCATTGTTAGCCTCAAATACCTGGTAAAAGACAAGCAGTGATACATCATCTATATATTTAAACAGAAATCTCATATTATGCCAGGCTGTTGAAGCAAAGAGAGCATTTTGATGTTGGATACTTTGAAAAATGTGTTATTCTTTAGAAACAGTATTAATGAGTGTTATTTGCTGTCATGCAAAATATTTTAGAGAAGATCATTAATTTTGAGGAGGAAATCCTCCCCTTATAATGCAGAAATATTGCAAAAAACTACACCCAAGAGAAAAATATTAATAAGAACACATCTTTATCATTCCAAATTAAATTTTAATAAAAAAAATTGAAAATAAATCATAGGTACTGTCACTTTTCAAAGTGGGATTTATATTATCTAGATAATGGTGAAATCAACTCACAATTGGCTTGCCATCTGGTCCCTTCATGAACTCAAAGTTCTGGCACTGCTGGTCACTGACCATCACTCTGTACTCTGTCACCCACTGCTTCATGTCAGAGCGACCCTGGGTCACAATACTGGACACCTGGATAGGGGTCTCAAAGTCCACCTGGAAGGGCAAAGGCATCGGATTAGCTAACCTGTTAAATTTTAATTTAAATTATTCTTTCAGTGGTTTTTGCTTGCTTGGTATATCCAATACTGTAAAATGTTTGCTTTACAAGAACAATTTTTCAATCATAATTTTTATTTAGGCATTAACATTTGTAATACAGATGTACATATACATGGTAAAAATGTCTATTACAAGAAAAAATCACTTTCTGCCAAATTTTTAAAATAACCTTCACATTTTTCAAAATGAGATATTTGTTGATATTCCATTTCCCTGACCTGAATCCATTGCTTGTCATCATTCACTGCGGCAGTCCATCCACCGAATCCCGTGAGCCCAGCTTTGGTGTCAAGACGAGCACGCTGTGGGCCGTGGCGAGGATTGTTGGCATAGATGCTGGAGGCACTGATCTGGCGATCTTCAACCTTGCCAATTTCCTTAGTAAGAGTCTTCTCACAGACTGCAAAGATGAATTTTTGCTTATTTATAATAAGAGTATTAAGTAAGTTCAGAAGTGACATCCTAAAAACATCTTATAGTGTATGCCAAATCCTTACATTTCTTTAAATGCAGTATGCTTATTTAGGCATCTCATATTTAAAAAATGCTGACATACAGCAGTTTACAGACTAATAGTAACATATTTCTCATAATGGATTAAATTAATAATTATTAATGAATAAATACCTTACTGTCATTGTATCAATACCACCATCATCATCATTTACTATTACTATCAAAAGATTTATTAAAAGAGTAGAAGTGCACTTACTGTACTGTTCACACTCGCAGTAGACTCTCACTTCATAGTCCTTGCAGAGACTGCCAACAGGCTGGTCACTGTTCAGGCAAGACAAGCCCAACTTGGTATCACAATTCACATTCATATCGCCACTGTTTTCATAGCTGACTCCAGTTCCCTTCACGCGACACTGAATAGCCTTCAGCATCTCGGGGCCACAGAAGACGTACTTCTTGTGAAGAGCAGGCATGGCTTCCACGTCGCCATCTTCATCATCCTGTGGGTTGGAGACACTCATCCAGTTGGTCCAGCCTGTCTTGGCACAGTCCTGGCGAAGCAATTGGGGTGGTGGACTTGGGCTTCCCTTGGTGGGGGTCTCAATTGTGGTGGGTACACCCTTGGTGGGTATGCGGCCAGACACTGGGGTTGGGGAGCCTTCCCCTGGGGTTGGTTTTGCCGTTGGTGTTCCACCAATTCCTGAGGTTGGCTTCACAGTTGTGAAAGATGGGGAAGGAGTTGGTTCACCTTCTGGTTTCACTGTTGGCACACTCTGACCTGGTGTTGGGGATGGAGTTGGTTTACCAGAGATGGCGGTTGGGGTCTCCTTTCCAACTGGTGGTTTTGGAGTTGGTGTGCCTTTGGCGACTGTTGGTGTTCCTTTCTCGGCTGTTGGTGAGGGAGTTGGCACGCCAGTGGTGCCACTAACTGGTGTCTTTGTGCCTGGTGTTGGAGATGGTGTTGGCTCACCACCGATGCTTGGTGTTGGAGTCTCCTTACCTACAGTTGGTTCTGGGGTTGGTGTTTCTCCAATGCCTGGTGTTGGTGTTACAGTCTTGAGGCTTGGTTCTGGAGTTGGCGTGGCAACAATGACAGTTGGGGTAACTGGTGGAAGCTGATTCTTGTCGCAACCACAGAAAACACGCACTTCATAATCTGCACACTCCTCACCGTTAGCCTGCATCTCGCTGTTACAGAGCAGACCAACGTTGACATCACACCTTATGTCTTGCCCGGTGAAGGGGTACTTCTTCATGGTGGCTGCGTCACGGCACTCAATGGCAGTGACATACATTGCCTTGCCACAGAGAGCTGGCATGTCCTCCTTGAGCTCGCTGAGGAGTTCCATCTCTCTTCCTTTCCAGTCTGGACCCTCGTAGTTGTTCTGCCAGGCAGACCAGTGGTTGACACAGTCTGAAAATTGCACGACACATTCAGTGCATGACTAAAACATTGCTGTCAAGGGTACAGTTTCAAAAAGGATCTCGAGGCCAAATATTGGTCTTATATTTGGGGCCAAACATTTAGACTCCACTCTATAGCAACCATCTACAGTCTACATGAATTGACTCAACTCCACAGTGTCTCTTGCTGAATGCAGTCAGTTTAACAGATAACAAGCCACCTCCTGGCATTAAGTCGGATCCAGAAAAGCTGGTGATTATATGAGTAGATAAGAAACAAGAGGAGGGGTGTTATAAGCTGCTTGCACTCAGTGAGAATCCCTGCAGAGTTGGGTCGATCCAAGTAGACCAATGGTGTCTATCTGAGTGATGTCTTAGTCTACTTCAGTCCAAGTTAAATCAACAGTAATCCATTTAAATAAATCAAAGTTTTTGGTTGGAAATGTGCAATGACCTTCTGACTTTATTTCAAGGGGAAAATATTTCATTTAATTGGATTGGATCTGCCAGGCACCGAGTTAGCAGTAAATAAAACATTCTGCTCAAACTCACTAAAAGTTAAAAGTTACAGTTACAGCCAGGCACTCACTTACCAGAGGGTGGTGAAGGTGTTGGTGTTCCAGAAGGTTCACTAGGAGTGGGAGCCACTGTTGTTGGTTTAACTTTGGTTCTGGTCGTTGGTTGAGCTCCCTGTGTGATTGGTGTCAGCTTAGGGCTTGGCGTGGGTGACCCAGTGGTTACCGTTGGCGCTCTTGTTGGAACACCCTCTGGAGATGGGGTGGGTGACAATTCCTCTCCTGGGATAGGGGTGCTTTGACCTGCAGGTGGCGATGGTGTTGGAACACCAGTGGTCTTGGCCGTTGGTTTTTCAGTTTCACTTGTTGGTGCTGGTGTTGGTGTTCCTTCACTTCCTGGGGTGGGTTTCACAGTTGTCATCTTAGGTGATGGAGTAGGCTCACCGTTTGGTCCGACTGTTGGAGTCTCACCTCCAGATGTTGGGGATGGAGTTGGGGTTCCCTTTGGTGGCTTTACAGTACCGAGGCTACCTGGTTTAGGGGATGGGGTTGGTTCAACAGTAGAACCAACAGGTGGTGTCTCTGTCCCTGGTGTTGGAGATGGTGTTGGTTTCCCACTTGTGACAACAACTGGTGTCTTTGTGCCTGCTGTTGGAGATGGTGTTGGTTTCCCACTTGTGACAACAACTGGTGTCTTTGTGCCTGGTGTTGGAGATGGTGTTGGTTTCTCACTGGTGCCACCAACTGGTATCTTTGTTCCTGGTGTTGGAGATGGTGTTGGTTCACCACTGGGGCTAACAACTGGTATCTTTGTGCTTGGTCCTGGAGATGCTGTTGGCTTATCACTGGTGCCTGGTGTTGGAGTCTTCTTACCAACAGGTGGTGCTGGTGTCGGTGTCTGGCTAGTTCCTGGTGTTGGTTTCACAGTCTTGCCAGATGGGGAAGGAGTTGGTTCCACAGTGCCTACTGGAATTGGGGTTCCAGAGCTTGGTGTTGGAGAGACGGTTACATCTGAAACACAAAATTATATATTGATATGATCATTTTCATTAAAGAAACAAAGTAATTAGGTGAGACCAACTGACAAGTTAGTTTACAAATGCCACCAACTTAATGTTGATTTTGAGGAAATGTAAATTCAAAAACACTCTGTAAGTGGCAGTGCAGAAAAACTTTTATGCTGTCATTTTTAAGCTCACAATGTATATTCGACACTTCCTTTCTCTTAGAAAAATAATGAAGAACCATGACATTATGCTGCTATTTTCATGATACATTTTCAAAAAGAAAATAAATTAGCCTGCCTTTTCACAAAGAGACACTGCTAATTAAACAACTCATTAATCAATTTTGTCTCGTCTTAAAATAAAAGAAATTTAAATTGTTGGATTGTTAAACTGTACAAGTAACTAATAATTTAACAATAACAATGAAACAAGAATTATTTTATATTTATCATGAATATCTTTGAATAGACAAGTATAGTTTTTTAAAATAAATTGATTAATTACCTCCACATTCACACCAGAACCTGATCTCGTAGTCCAGGCAAAGATGGTTGGTCTGGTCAGCGTTGAGACACTGAAGACCATTAACCACATCACACTTGACCTGAAAATTGGAGACAATATTTTTCAAACATTTGTATACAAAGGATAGCTTGACAATCGGATGCTCAAAATACAGAAATGATGTCGGCATTGAGACACTAGAAAAACCATGAAACCAGCTGTCTTTTGCCTTAAAACTATATATTTTAATATTTGGACACTCAGTCTCTTTATCTATTTGTCCTTGATAGTAAGAGTCTACTTATCTATTTATGAATAAAGCATTCCCAGTAGTGAGAATATGTCTGGACAGATTGTCTCTTAAGACATATGTAAGAGGATAATGATGATGACAATCTTAGTTTTAGTAATTCTTGATAAATTGTCAGATATTATAATAGTGCATTGTGCTTCAGTACAAACCTTCTGTCCAGAGTAGGCAGCAGCAGTGTTGGTGCCCACAGCCCTGCACTCCACGGAAGAAATCATCTCGTAGTCGCAGTACGGGTAGGCACGACGCAGGTTCTTGTGGGATTCAATATCACCCAAGTTGGTGAACGATGGATGGGAAGAGCTCATCCAATCAGTCCATCCAGTCTTCAAGCACATGGGCTGGTAGATGACCACTGGGGTTGGCCCTGGGGTCAATGTTGGCTTGACAGTGGGTTTGACCGTGGGCTGGACACTTGGTTTTGGTGTTGGTTCACCGGTTGGTGAGATGGGTGGTTTCTGGGTTGTGACAGGTCCTGGTGATGGTGTAGGAGAACCAGTGGTGACAGGAGAGGGCTCTGGTGTGGATACCTTGGGTGGTTCCTGTGTGGCACATGGTTTGCCAGTAATGGTGACATGGCCATTCTTGTCACAGTAACTGGAGTGGAAATAAATGAATCTTGTTGAAAAATATCAGTAATCATTTATCTCAATATTACAATTGGATAAAATGGGCATGTGTAGATGTTTTTCTTTTTAGCAGATCTTAAGAATAAAAGGAGGCATTATTCAGACTGTCATACAAAATATCAAACTTCAGACTTTTTTTGTAAAACAGAAAGAATATATTCTTGAAAAACTGCAACATCTTCAAGAAAAAATGTATGACAAGAATTTTTAATGTAGTCATAAGATTAGAACAGTCCCCCTTGTAAATTAAATTTAGCATGCTGACATACAATACAGTTTCTTTGAAATGTTGCTTCAGAATAAAAAGACCAATCATCTTAATAATGACAAAGCAACAAATAATATTACTCAAAAAAAGGCAAAAACTACTCACCAAATCTGGCACTTGTCACAGACTGCTGTGTCCTTAATCTGTTCTCCCTCTTTGTACTCTTTGCCATTGATCACGCACTTGCGTCCCTCGCACACTGCCTCGGGCACGCACTTCAGCATGGTGTCATTCATGTAGACTTTGCCTGGCATGCATGGATCAATGTCGCAACCTTCTACACACACCTGATGTAATGAAAATAATAATTAAATTATGCTCAATAAAGATATTAACGATCAACATATGACTTAAGGTTCAAATAGCTTCGATTTTCTGTTAATACAGTAATCCTTTTAATAGTTATCTTTTTTGGGGGGAGGGGGAGGAGAGAGAGAGGAAACAGTTAATTTTAGAACATCAGAAATTAAGGTTTTTTGCCGAGGTCAATTATAAATTTCGACCTCTTACCAAGCCAATACCAAAAGCTTTTTTTTTCATAATGGGTGCAAAATGATTTGATATGGTCAGACACACTCTTTATCCACATTATCAAGTTTGTCAAGAAAAAATTATCTAATTTCTGCAAAACTAGAGTCAGATGCACTCGTAATCTGCCTTTTCAATTTTATAAATTATATATTTGAAAAATTTCAATTTCAAAAAATTATTCTGACTGCACTCATACCTCATCCTTGCATGTGCTCAAAATCTTGTCGTAATGGTCCTTGTTCTCACATGTGCGTTTGGGGCACATGCTCATGCATGGGTTGTACTTGCCACAGTCTTCACACTGCATGGCTGAAAAGATGATCAAAGCCATTTCAAAACAATGTTAATTGTTGTTTTAAATATCGAAAAATTCCTTTCATAAAGTTGTGAAAATTTTTAAAAAGTGAAAAATTTTGAAAAATAAATGTTATGAAGTACTTTCAAAATGTTGTTTTAAAGCTGAAATGTCATTACTGATAAAAATATTTAATTTTTTCGTTAATGACCGCAAGAATACTATTCAAAGACATTATATGTACACATTGCGGTCTTCAAAAAATTTCTAAAATTTGTCAAATTCCTCAGTAAACAATGTGCTTGAAAATTCTTCAAGTAAAAAATAAAATCTGTTTCAGTGCTAAGTCAAAAGTAATATGCATATTCAATATTTTAAACATCAAGCTTTTACAATGTATCATTAAAGACATTTTTATCTACGCATTACAGCCTACAGTACCTACCACACAATTCCTGGTTCCTCCAGCTGATTGGCACGCCATGGATGTTACACTCCTGTGCATAGGCAGCAATGGCCGTACACAGACACTCGCAGTCGCCACCAAGATCGCACGCACATGCATCATAGATACACCTGTCCATGTATGCCTGATAAGGCACGACAGCGTGGCAAGGCTTGAACAGATCGGACGAGAGGAGAGAGCATTTCCTCTGTGCCCATGGTTTGCGGTGTGGGGATGAGATGCAGGGCTCGGAGACCTCCTTGGATGGTGCGCAGTAAGAGTGGACCTTCCAGCTGTCACCAAAGGTGGTAGGTTTGATGACGGGAGTGTTCTGGGGGGTCTTAAAGTCATCCAGCTGGTCACCGTTGAAGTTACCGCACAAACCTTGGACCTGGATTATAAAAAAAAGGATAAAAGATGATGATCTTTATAATGAACTTAATTTTGGCTTTAATAATGACTTTGATGGTGACCTTTGTTTTGACATTTATGGATGCCACCTGAAATGGGAAAGGACACCACAGACAGTTTTTACTAATTTCACAATATTTATTGCCATTTCTATGCAGTGCCATAATTTGATCATCAAAGATTTTTGAAAATTAAATGAAAAATTAGCTGATATTATCAAAAACTTATCAAAAAGAAAAAAATGCATGTCAGATGTTTATATTGTGACACAATAATTATAGCACTTGCCACACAGATAAAGTGCATTTCTCAAAGATAAACCCCAAACTACAACCACTCAGATCCGTGTCAAAATGTCAAACAAAAAATCAACTCACAGCTCCTTTGTGATCCACAGACAGCTTGATGTAGACCCTGGTACCACGGTCCCATTGCAGGATGACGCCAAAGTCGGTGATGACAAAGACGAACATGCCGACCTCCCTGACCTGGAAGGGGGCGTTGGGGTCCACCTCCACATCCTTGCCTCTCACCAGACTGATCTTGTAGAAGTTGGCAGAGCCTGGGGAAATGAGAGGAGATTGTAATAAAAATAACAACAAGAAAAATAATCAAAATAATTATAATAACAACAGCAATAAATACTCTTAATTCTGTTTAACTTATTTATTCATTTACTCATTTTATTTTAATTGTTTATTTATTTATTTATTTATTTGTAAAAAGCCATTGATAATAATTCAATTTGATATATATCACCACCATTCAAATGCAACTGTCATTTTAAAGAGAAAAACTGGTTTTGTTACAGACTAGCATAAACTGCAGACTGCAAGCCTTTAGATCCTTTTCACACTGAGAGCAGCATTTTTTTAAACTTGTTATTAATAGCCTGGCTCTTATAGAGACACTTAAATGGAGCCCGTGCTTCACAAGGCCACCATATGGAACTCTAGGACCTGTGAAAGGAACCCCCTTCCCCAAGTTAAAATGTACAAAGACTCACCTGGCTCTCCAATGGAGAACTCAATGGCTTTGGTGCAGGTGACACCACTGGTGCCGCAGGGGATGTTCTCAGTGGTGATCTGGAACTTGTGGGGGTTTGAGGTGGCGCTCTTGGCCAGGGTGTAGTCACAGTTGCCCTGGAACTCGAACATCTTGCCGTCAAATGTCTTGTAATGGCTGTCACCAAAGGCGGAACACAGACCAGGGCACTGCTTGGTGTCACAGGCCCAGTGTCTTGAACGGCAGACGCTGGAAAAATTTTAAGAAAAAAATTAATAAATTAAGTTTTACCCTTTATGAATACAATTCAATATACATATCAATAATTGTTAAAAAATACTGCAAAAAAATGAATTATTTATGCAAGACACAATGCTATTTTATCTCTAAGACTTAAAAGTCACACATAAATTTATCTATAGATTAACTTAATGCTTCATATGGCACTGAATCTAAACCAAACAAATGAGGATAGTATTTGAAGAACATGACGAAATCAAATACGCACCATTCATTGCACTCAAGTTTGATAGTATCTCCCTCATAGTAGCTCTTTCCACCATGGTGGCATGGGCATTCTGTCTCTTTCACGCACGTCTTTCCATCGAGCACGTAACCTGGCTCGCACATGCATCCTGGGTTACAGTTCACCGTTGTGCAGCCTGGTGGGCTGTGCATGTTGGAGCAAGTCTTTGGGCAGCTGGACACACAGCTGGTGTACACCATGTTGGTGGGACAGAGAGGTCGGAGTGGTTTCTTGGTGGGGATCTTGGCCACATCATCCTGGGGTGTCTTGCCCTGAGGTGTGGGCTTCTTGGGGGGTACTGGGTAGCACTCCCACTTGGCTCCCTTACATTCACTGAAATGGAGTTGTATTGGAATTAAGCGTGTGTTCTTTTCTAACCAAGATTATCTGCAATCATTAACCACATTGGTATATTCTATTTTTCATATTTGAAATTTTAAAATCTTTAAATTTTCCCTGATACACCAAACCACAATATTTGCAATCAGAATCATCTTCTCTCTTAATTGATATAACAAAAAAATGGCAGGGTTTTTTTTTTTTAATTTTTAAAATTTTGACTTGTCTTATTAGATTTTCATTATTTCAATAGTCAATTTTTACAATATCATCCAATCTCAGATATAAAAGCCAATTGCTGCTGTCTTGATATCTTCAGAATCCCGCACTCACCAGATCTCGTTCTCCTTCATGGTGGTGTAGCCACTAGCATACTCCCTGCCATCAAAGATGCAAGGACACTGCTCCTCCTTCACGCACTCTCCATTGGAGTTCAAGGTCATGCCGTTAGGGCAGTTGCAACCCTCAACGCATGTGTCCTGGCATGTGGGGTTCATGGCGATGTCACGGCAAGAGCGTTTGCACGAACTGCTGCATGCCTGGTAGACCTGACCACCTGGGCACTGGAGTGCTACGGGTTGGAATAAAATGAATGTTTAGATTGGCTGTAATTTCATCCAATGAACAATGTGCATTAATCATACCTCAGCTAAAGCAAACAATATTTTCACACTGTAAAAAAGCCTCGTGTCAAATGAGTTGTCTACAGAACATCCCATAATAAGGACTTCTTCTTTTATCAAAATATCAGACAGATGTCCACAAACTAATATAAAATCACAATAGTTTTTCCTTAATTAAATGAATTAAATGCTATATATTTAAAAGGTCACTTTTTGCAAATAAAACATAGATATAGGGAAAATGAATAAATGTTCACAACTCCTTTATGAGAGAGAATAACAACTGAATATACAAATACATGATTGTATTGTATTGCATTGTATTGACCTGAATTGTATTGTATTGTATTATACTGTATCATAGTGTTAATTCAACTTACCACACAGTTGGACCTGGTTTCTCCAGTGGACCTGTACTCCCTTGGCTGTGCACTCATCAGCGTATGAGCCCATGGTGGGGCACACGCAGTCGCGCAGATTGGAGGCGCAGTCGCACACGTCGTACAAACAGTCCTTGTAGAATGGTTCCACATCAACGACATCATGACAGGCTGGGGAGAAATAAAATGTCAGTTAATTTTTTATTGATTTTTTTATTGATATTTAAGTTGCAAATATTGGTGTTGTTGTTATTTTCATATTTTGCATGAATTCAGAAATCACTTCTCTTTGTGTATGGGAATGCCAAAAAGGTTTTTAAAATTGACTTTGAGCTTGGCATATTTATCTTTTAATTTTATAACATCAGTATCATTAAAACTTCTTTAAACATGCAAATATTTATAAACCTACAACATCAAATAAACATCTTTCGTTTCATATCATTTCACATCTTTTCTAGAAATGCTATGACTTGAAGAAGCTGATGATATAACTGGTGATTTGTTGAGCTTAATAATTTAAAATGCAGCACCTACCCTTGAAGAACTGTCAATATCAAAATAACTTTATACATTTTCCAATAATTTGAAGCTTTTAAATTAACACTCACCCTTGAAGATGTCACTCTTCAACACACCACACTCCTCGTGAGCCGTTGGTTTACGCTGTGAGAACAGATCACATGGGTGAGGATTGGGGCGATCTGTAGGTACTTCAGTGCAAGTATCATACACACGCCAGTTGTTACCAAATCCATTGACATTAGTCTCTGGAGCGCCCTCTAGTGTCAAGTAGTCATCGTTCTGGTTGTTGGTGAGAGTGCCGCAGAGACCCTTGGTCTTTCCGTGGAATTTGTCCTTTGGTGCGAAGACGTAGACGCGGGATTGTCCGTCCCACATGATCTTCAGACCATTGCTGAGTTCAACCTGGGATAAGATGGTGAATGAGAAAATTTAATATCTTGCTAACTTTTGAAAAGATATCAAGTTTATCTAGTATTTCAGTGTATCTGAAACTGAATTTTGGACCATTTGCATCTCATTTGCAACTACTACTACTACTACTACTACTACTACTACTACTACTACTACTAATATTATAATAATAATAACAATTTATCAAGTATCAATTGGTTAACTTTCAAATTTGCCTTCACTCTGGATACTTATTTTCATATGAAGATAAAACACTAATTGAAAAATATCTATTTTACAAAATCAATAATAGTTCATAACCCCTGTAACTCAAAAAAGATAGCACTTATTAATTTCCCATCTCAGCCCTCACCTTGATGAAGATGGAGGAAGCCATGTAGATGTAGGCACCTGCTGCTTTGTGGGGGAGATCCTTGATTTCCTGTCCATTCACAAACAGGACACGGTTCTTCTTCATCTCAATGGTGGTGTCTCCGATCTAAACATAAATGTCATCAAATTAAATAAAATTAAATAAAATACATAACTAAATTTTCCTCAATTTTATAACAATGTTTTTATATTAATTATGTATTGTTGGCTTTGTCTAAGAGAGTATATTTTTATGTTTTATGTTTATCAAAATGATAATTAAGCCTCGTAAAAGTAAAAAAAGAAGAATAAGTGGGGCATCTTTAAATTTTAAGTAATAATCATAATGATCATTTGTATTTGCGACATCAAAGTGAACTTAGAACAGACAGTATCAGGGAAAATTAGTATATATCTCACCTTGATGGTAACAGCCTTGGTGCATGCAGCGTTCTCACGCCCACACTCAACATTCTCCGCAATGATCTTGTAGTTGGTGTCGTACATCAGGTAGTAAGAGCATGCGCCCATGAAGGCGTAGCGTGTACCGTCAAAGGTCTTGTAGTGCGGATCACCAGTGACATAACAGACAGCGTCGCAAGGAACTTGTTTGCAGGTCTGTGGATCCCAGATACCCTTCTTACAAGTGCTAGAATTAATGAAAAAATACATAAATAAATACCGTCTACAAGGGACTTAATTAATATTAATTTTTTTTTTATTATTAAAATATAAGTTGCAACTTAAGCTTCAGCAGTTACTGATAAAAATGCTAAAACTGCCTGGCACAAACACAATTAGATGACATTAGACTATAATCTATAAAATCTACAAAATACAGTTTATGATTATTCAGTGACTGGATGCAATAATAGCTTCATAATAATTTAATTTCATTATTTTATCTTAGATTTTGGGATTCCTTTCTATACCTACTTAGTAACTTGTATGGCAAAAACATTATGCTGCATCCAGCAAATTATACATGAAAGACTAAAAAATTTCTACAGAATTTTTTTTTTTTTAGTTTTTAAATACTTCTCTGAAATTAAATGGATTACTCATCTTCAAAGTTTGATTTTTTTCAAAAACAAATCGTAACTCACCATTCCTCACAATCTCTGATCTTGACAGTCTCCCCAGCAGAGTACTTCTTTCCGCGGTGCTCACATGGGCAGTCCTCGACACGGACGCAGGTCTGGCCAGACAGGGCAGTGCCATCTGGACAATGGCAGCCATCCACACACTGGTCATTGATGCAGTTGTAATCAGACTGACCACAGGTCTTTGGGCAGGTGCTTCCACACTCGTTGTAGGTCATGCCGTTTGGACAGGACACGGCTGAATTTTAATTGAAATTTTTCAAAATAATTTTGGGTATTTATTTGTACCTTATTTATTGTTTTTTTTAACCATTTTGAAATAAAATATTCAAGCAATGGACAATGGATCATTTTCACACATCTTACCATTGAGCAAATTTTGCTCTGTACATTACATGAAACTGCGCTGACTGATTTTAAAAATTCTGATTACAAAACAGTGTAACTTCTGCTAAATGTCGTAGAAAAAAATCATAAAAATCAATAATTTTACTTACAGCATCCAAGTGCGTCTCTCCAGCTCATGGTCACACCTTCGCGCTGGCAGGCACGGAAGAAAGCAGCAAACGTGTTGCATGTGCAGTCAGAACGTGCTGTGCCATTGCACTCGCAGTAGTCAGTACGGCAAGCATCAATGTATTTTTGCACATCAACAACCTGAAAAGAAGACATGACTAAATTTTGAGCAGAGTGGTACAGAAAATAAAACAATTTACATGGAAAATGTAGCTAAATGGTTCTTATAGTAAAAGGGTAATTCACAAAAGGCCATAACCAGTGTTCTTACTTGTAAACATTTCAGATTGGACACTTCAAACAATAGAATTTTAGTTTTGGTGCTATGTAGGGTCATAAACAGTGTTCCTTTACATTTTAGATTGGTTATGAATTTGTTTATGAAATCACATACAAGCATACTAGTACTTCTCAATGCTTTGATCAAACAAAAAAAGAAGTGAAATTCCAAGTTTTTATTAGAAAATTAAAAGACTTAGTATGAATTCTTCTACTACGCTGAATAATCTGAGACTAAGTAAATTTCTTTTTTTACCTGAGCACAAGCAGCATACTGTGGTCTCAGCAGCTTCTTGCATTCAATGTCAGCAGCAGTGGAGAGTTGGCTACTTGCTCCAGAGGCGGCGCTACAGGCACCGGCAGACTTGGTCCTGTCTTGGCAGGTGTCTGGAATGAATTGATAATAGACATATTATCTTGTTTTTACCTGCTTGTCTACTTTTTGATAAAAAATAGGCGAACATTAAGTCTTAAAGTTTTTGATAATTGAATTTTAAAGAAACAAAGTGTCATCAACTTGCTTCATGTTTGATTTTTATACATGTAGGGAATGTAACTAAATCTATTTTCCTTAATTACACACACACTTAATTCCATGACCAAAAATTTTAATATTATTTTTAATTTGCAGGTCAAGGAATATGATGTGTAAATTCTCAGTACGCTTTTTTCTAGTACCTCCTGTCAAACCAATCATCTTCCAGCTTCTTGCAAATGCATGCACATCGTGTGTGATCACTCTCTTGTCCAAGGTCTCGAAATCATTTCCTGGGATGTCGTCATAGCGACCACAGAGACCGCAGGTCTTGTTCTTCAGCTCAAGGCCGACCTCAACAGCGATGTACTCTTTTCCGTCCCACTTCAGCTTGAAGCCAAGATCAGTGCGAAGGTGAATGAACTGTGCAACGCGCTCGAAAACGATGTTGTTCAGGGTGCTTGGGATTGCAACCTCAACACGTGGAGAATGCGCGTCATTCTTCATGAACACCTTGGGGCCCTCTGGTGTTGATCTCAAAGTGAGAGCACTATCGTCACTGAAATAGATTTCAACTTGGCGCTTGCACGGCGCATGCGGGGCGCAGGAGCGGTCATTGATGACGTGGATGGCAAAGGTGTCTGCTACGCAGTCTTTTGCAAGCACATACGTGCAGCGTCCTTCAAACTGGTAAACCTTGCCGTCAAAGGTGCGGTAGTGGTGTTGGCTCCATGCGGCACACCAGGCTTCAGTGGAGGGAGTTCGGACTAAAATGACAAAAAAATCAAATAAAATAGAGCTGATGCCATTAATGTCACTATGGTAAAAACTTGGTGATAATTCAACAGTACAATTGCTGAAATTTCAAAGAAATGGAATGAAATGTCAAAAAAAATCCCTTTTGTCGTATAAAGGTCTGCCATGCATTGTGTCTTTACCCTTTTTACTAGTATACTGCTAAATTTAACTAAATTAAATTAAATTAAATTAAATTTGTCTATAATATCTGTACACCCTATTTTTGAATATTGACTTACTTTTGCTCCCTGTTGGCACGAGAGGATTAGTTATGGCTGGCTTTGTGTTGATCACATTCACCTCTGAAAAAAGTGAAATATTTGTGTTTGAATGTAAAAGAGTATGAAAGACAGAATTTGGTTATAGCAGCTTGTTTTCAAAATTATATTTCTGTCAACAGTGTTGACTACCCCATTATGCACTGCACTTTACAAAATATTCATTATTCATTATTCATTTCCATTTTTTTAAATAATTTTATATGTGTTTTAATGGAATCTACTTTCTGATGTCACCTATAACCATGCCAGTCTGTTTATACCTATTCATTTAATTATTTACTTTTTATTGTTATTTCCAAATTGTCTTAATTTTTCTACTCACTTGGAATACAGTCGGGCACCTTGTTTGGAGTCCACACACCCTCAGAGTTTTTGCAGGTGTACATGTTGTTGGTTGGAGATTCAAATCTGAGAAAATAAAATCAATGTACAGAATTTTAAATTTTAAGTTGGAGTGTATGAAAATTGAAACAGACAAGTGGCTAATTAATCATGCTAGTATATCATATAGAGAACAAGTGCATCTTACTGATTGTTGGCTATATATTATTCCAACTCAAGAACTCAGGACTGTATACATTTTATAGTCCTATTATTATAGTCACTATTAGCAGAACAGACACAAAAAAACATCAACAGTACTGCTGTATGTGAGAGTTGAGGAGGGGCCATAGCAATATTCAGAAGGTTCAATAGTCGGAAGGTTCATTGGTCCAAATGTTATATATAGAACCTTCAGACCAGTGAACCTTTGATTAAAAAAACGATGAAAATGTTACCATTTTGCAGACCAATGAACCTTCAGACGCCTCCGTTGAGGAGATGAAAGGTAAGATAAAAAATTTGTGCAGCAACTGATTCTCATTACACACTGTTTGAGGCCCTAACTTGCTTTCATGGATTAACGCAGCATAGATACCAAAACTGTTATTAGGAGCTAGTGTAAATGCATGAATTTCCAGGCACAATGGACTATTAGAGTCTTACCTGTACCCTGCATTACAGGTGGGGTAACAATGTGTCTCATGGGTCTCCACTGTGCACTGAATGTCTCCATTCCTCGGCTTCTGAAGGGGGACGCACTTGTTATCTAAAATAAGAGTAAAATATTTTTGTCAATTTTTTTCTGTTAAAAGCAGTCCAAAATCAAATAAGGATTCACTCTAGTTCAGCTTTGTTACAAAACATTTGAATAGACTGTAAACTGTATATTAACAGAATGGCCTGTGGGCTCTTGTTTTGGATTTCGACTGCAGTGTTACTGGCACTGTGTGTGTGTGTGTGTGTGTGTGTGTGTGTGTGTGTGTGTGTGTGTGTGCGTGCGTGTGTGCGTGTAAATGTTTAAATCTGAAAGTGAAACCGATACACAGGTGCAATCCATCACTACAGTACGTGTACATACTAGCAAAATGGTCGGGTATGAACCTTGTTTTACTTTGACCAAATCATTTTTTACAGAAAACGGAAATTATAAATGTTTTGAATATTAATCACTTTCCACAAATTTATTCATTCATACTAATTTGTTAAGTGTCACTTATGAACCGGCTTAGAACTCGTCTTCGTATCAAAGTTAAACGAAAACATAAGCAAGTTATGTTACCTTCGTCCTTCCCGCTATCTATTACAACTAACGCGCGCAAAATTACGATGTGAGTCAAAATGTGCAGTTTTGAAATATAATGTTACTTTTGTTGACCAAAGGGTACATTAATACACAATGCGACCATGTGTTCTTTGAATATACCGGTACACATTCTGTGTTCTAAACACGCTTTGAAGCTTCGGATCATGACATTCCGAGTCGGGTACAGTGCGTCAGCGAACTTGTAGAATCCTCAGCCGCGCGCTTTAAGGACACTTGAGACGTACGGTGTGGCTGAATTGCGCAATACAGCGCAATACAGCGCAAAGTAATGATAGAGACGGACGAACGTTCTTGTACATGCATTTCCAGTTTTCTCTTTTTTTTTTCTTTTTGCTCATACACCTCTTATTAAAACAAATAAAAAAATGCCAACTTATCTGACAATATCGAGCATAATATGTTTTTGAAAAGAAGATTTTTTTTCTTTTGAAGATATAATAAATTTGACACTTATAAAAAATATATAAATATATAAATTTTACCCAATATGCAGTTGGGGATGGTGCTTCCTGTGGTCCACACGCCGTCTGGGCGACACACGTACTCAGACTCTACGGGGCCCTCAAATTTGTAGCCAGGGAGGCACTTGACCTGACACCTGGTGTCGGTCACACCGTCGGCACACTGGATTTGTCCGTTCTGTGGAGCGGCGGGCCTCACACAGTTGGACACAGCTGAAAACGGGAATTATAAATGTTTTGAATATAAATCTCTTTCCACAAATTTATTTATTCAATTATTCTCTTTTTTTTTTTTTTTTTTTTGCACTTCTAAAAAAAAAATTAAACAATAAGTAGTTCATACCTATTTACAAGTTGTCTATTTATCTAAAAGTTGTGACTTTCTTCCTCATTTACAATAAACGTATATCAATTCTTTATTTCTGTGAGTTTTTTTTTTAATGTACTTTTTTTATTATCCACTTATCCATTTTATAGCTATTATTTTGTTGTTGTTTTTATTAATATACTCACCATACTGACAGCGGCTACCACGGTAACCTGCCTGGCAACGGCACGTGAACGGAAGGATGCAGGCACCACCATTCATACAGGACGGATTGCAAATAGCTAGAAAGAGAACAGGAGACTTTTCTAGATACACGGAAACTGTACAAAATGCTTCTGCAAGAGTGACCACATGGATCTGGGGCAAAATTTTGTACTAATGCTCATGTTAAGGCATTCATATATATATATATATAGAACAAACGCGATTTTTTTTTTTTTTTTTTTTTTTTTTTTTTTTTTTTTTATAATGGAAAGTAAATAAATCCGTTTGCTTCCGATTTCAAAATAATTCAGTTCAGCTCAGGTTGACCGCAATTTACAGCCCTGTTTGCGAGAACGTGTTTTATGCGGGCAAAAATTAAGTAGATTCTTTTTTTTTTTTAATTATAATAGTTCGTCATTATTCCACGTACGTTTGCAGTCCTGGAAGGTGCCGGTACCCCCTGACCACGACCCCCAGCCGAGATCACATCTCTGGGTCTCCTCCTTGGCTCCGGAGGGGAAGATGTAGTTTGGCCGACAGGTGGCGGTGCAGACCCTAGAATAAGACATTAAGATTTTTTAAAGTTTTTTAAGTGACATGCATGACATTTGTCTGTTTTTTTTTTTTCATTAACGTTTCCCCCTTGATTCTCTCTCTTATTATCACTTTTTTTGTGTGTGGGGGGGGGGGGGGTTGAGGGGGAATGTCACAACAACTCTGAAATGATGATATGTCGGCGAAATAGCAATCATTCTTTCCAATTAACTTTTTGAAGAAAGAGCAAACACCAGTTAGTCTTCATAAAGTATATTTTTGCAGTTTGTCTCAGTAGTTTAGTGGATACGCGCACTTACTTCTCCATCCCGTCCCAGGAGTCCTCGCATTTCACCGTGGCGTTTCCTGGGGCACGGGGCTCTGGGCATACATCTGTGGAAATAAAAAAATAATAAAATGACGAGGTGTTTCTATTTTATCTACTAGTCTCTCTCTCTCTCTCTCTCTCTCTCTCTCTCTCTCTCTCTCTCTTTAAGTGTGTGTTCAAATGTCTACCTTTACTTGCTCATCTTTGTATAGTTGTATCTATTCGTTCATCCATCGTGTATTTTATTTGCTTCTTTCTTTCTTTCTTTCTTTCTTTCTTTCTTTATTCATTCCAATACAGTGCTCATTACAGATAACTGCAAATTTACCTTTCATTTTAGACAAATCGATGTTTATAAAAAAACACTACACATTTTAGGTACTGTACATGTAGTTGTTGTAAAAATGTTAGTAATTGTATAATTGCTATAATTAAATTATACTATCAAAGCTGTCCGTGACTACAGGTGATTTAGCTTCAAGGGACGACACCTGTTGTACATTTAAAATAGCAACAAATAATTTTGATCAAACAAAAAGGGGTGTAAGAAGCACTGATTTATTTCAGAAAACCAGATTAAGCCCAGTGTCTTTTTTCAACTAACACTTTCGTGACGTCATTAGAATCATGGCAACGGAACAACTCGTGCGTCGTCCTTGGATTCGCTAATTCAACTCAAGTATGGGTGAATTAATCTCCAATCCCCTTTCAGATAAGCATTGACCTCGGGGCATGCTTCAGTCAAGACTAATGAGTTGTCAAACAACGACGTGACTTTCGCACAAAAATTCTTAATCCGTCAAAGTTCTATTTGATCCTGTTTTAATGAATCTTCTTACAAAGGAAGCGAATTAATCCCCCTATTTTCGCTCATTTTTCCGTGGGATTGGGATAAATAGTGGCCTCGCCTACAAAAATGTGTCTATTTTGGTATTTGGTTGAATAGGATTGTCAGCATTGAGATTTTTCAACTGAATTATTAAAGTGATCATCATAAATGACATCTCCGAACCTACTGATAAAATCGTTTTGTTGGCTAGATATTAGACACTAATTGTTATAATTGCGTGTCTTCTTTTTTCCTATAAAGAGCGTCCAAATGTATAAGGCCACACCCAATCTCCTGTCAGAACACAGGGACGGGCTTTTACATGCAGAACCTACTAAATGTTTACTTTTGGATTTTTAAAGTAATATTTTCTCAGAAACATACAGGAGATGACTTGAATGTAATGATGGTAATTTGATAACGATCACTTTATTTAATGCTTAATGACTCTTTTTTTAATTCGCTTTCTTCCAAAAGAAAAAGAAATGCAACAGAGAACAAAGACCGTTTTAAAACTGTTAAAAACCTCGCAAGCTCTATTTTGTTCGTTCTAACCTTTTTTACTTGTTTCGAAAAACCAAAGTATTAATAAAATGAACGCAGACCGCATTTCTACGCTCATAACCAGATTATCCTTTCATTTCCCTTAGGCCACGTGCTTTTGACCCTTTAATGTGTCTTAATCGCAGTTATCGCTAACTTAAAGCTTTCTATCTTAACAAGAACACAACACTCGTTTGCATACATCTTCCAATGTTTGAACGCCGTTGAAAGGTTCTACGCAGTTATCTTGAAAACATGCGATAAAAGTCAATTTAAAGCCATGACAAATCGTGACTTAAATAAACAATTTTGCCGGTTCCCGGAGACACGCTTTAAAAGGGACGTGGACATTTTTAGCTGTTTGTTTTCTTTATAATTATTGATGGGGACATTTATATCTTGACTGCAAAGATTTTCTTGAAGGTTTAGCGGTGTGGGAGGACATACATCTTCAGGGCATAATTGAAGAGATTGCAAAAGTAAAAAAACAACTTGCATTATTACGTGTATTTACTTCAGACCAAAATGAAATACAAGGCTGCCGAAGAAGTATTGATAAGGGATGAAGCCTGAATACTTGTGTATTTTTAGCTGCGGCTGGAATTAAGGGTACATCTAGACAGAGTTATCACGGGGAACAACCACGGGGCTTGACAACCCGTAAAAAACACGGTGACGCAACAACAAGCACTTGCCTTACAATTTATACCATCAGCATATTGACAAATATTTAAAGTATCAAATATCGAGAGTCTTCAAATCCTAGGCTTACGATTTTGCACACAACAGTTTTCTTTATATTTCATATCACGGATTTATGTTTCAACGCAGCTAGGTTTAAATCTACATGATTTCAAAATTTATCGAACGATATGGGGTAAACAAAATATGTACTTAAAAGAAAAAACAACCTCGAGTCTTTAATAGCATTTTTTGCTCAGATTTAGATTGAACCCTTTCCCGTCCCCAACCGCGTACCAAGGAGCATGTATCACACGTACTCTAGATTGTTGCGTATCTTAGCGTACACGGATTGCGGACCCTTGATAGGCGGAGATACCATTGTCGAGTGCACGTAAAGATTAAGACGCAAGCTGCTTTAACATTATCCCAATGTGCGTTCACACCTAAAAAAATACACCCGACTTTCGTCGCGGTCGCTGTCTTACGTCATCAGCAATGTGTTAGCCACGTGGTCGCCAGCCCACCGGTGGGTCAACTTAGTGACGAAACAGAACTGTGTGCAGGTGTGATTTTGCTTGGCTTACAACTGGCCGGTTTATTTACGACTACTGAGGCTAAGTTTTGAACGCTATCGAACCCGATCTGTTTTGGTGTGAACGGAACGTGATCATACCGCAATCCAGCAACGCAGGAAGTTCGAGGTGATTTTAAGGCCTGACCATTTTAACCTTTTGCGTTTATAAACAGATAATAAACACATTGGTATATAGACAAAATAAATAAATACATCTACTGACTCCTTATGCAATTAAACTGCTCGTTTGCGAGTACAGTTGTTTTAAAATAGTATTTCAAGCATTATTTCCTAAAAATTATTTATTTATTTATCTATCTGTTTATTTATTTACTTTATGCATTTATTTATTCTGCTAATGACATTTTGATCTTAATGTTGCAAAGGATATATATTTTCAATTTCATTCTTTTTGCAAGGTATCGTAAATAAATGTGCAAATGCATGTGTGGATTATTGCTGTCAAAAATGTTAGAGTTAATGATCGGGAAAAGCATATGGTAATAAAAGGAAAAAACTTATAAAATAGATATTATAATTTGTAGAATTTGATCAACATTGAATTCATTTCATACAAAGTATAAATCGAAAATTACAATGAAATAAAATTAAGCAAAATTTATGAAGCGTTTTCAAAAGTATTTGCCTCAGAAACTTTATCAGTATCTCTAATGTAATTAAACACTATCAGTAAAGGTAAAGCACTGCAGCAGCTTTGAAGTGCTGCGTCATCTTGCATCATGAAGTCACGACAAATAACACGTGTAAAGAATTTGCACAAGTGGAAGCTGCTCCACGCCTTGCATAATCAAATAAAAACAAGCGAATAAAATATCCATTACATCACTTTATTTCTTATCGCTTGGGCATCAGCAGAAAGTGAAACTTTGACAATTACAACACCCAAAGCCCATCTTCGTTATCAACTACGCAATAGTTTTCTCATTAATTCGCTTTTATCTTATCCAAATCTCATCCTTCATCGCACGCGCTGATTTGCGGGGGACTGCGAATTGTTTTTATGAAATCGAGAAAGTTCTCAAAAAGTCACGACCGAAGAGCAACAATCGAATCAAAACATCATCAAGTCGTCTAAGCGGTTGAGTTGATACTTTGTTTTTATCGATTGATAGAGAGGGACCTGCACGCTCGCTCCGATAAGGGAAATATTTGACAGTGGTGAGTTTAGTTTTTAGCACCCAGGGAAAGCGGTATTAATACCCCAACAACGGGATTAGAGCGGTCTTTCTACCCACGCATTAACTGCTGTTGCCATAGAAATATTGTGCGTTATCTTGGGAGACGAGGTGCGGCTGTGAGAGAGTGGGTTTTGTTTTTCACGTGAATTTTTTGGGAAAATGCTGAAGACAGCATTTTATCTAAAGGAGAATACACGGAAAGAATTTATTTCTGAATCCGAAAAAAGCATACGAAGAAAGCCACCTCGACTTTGTCAAAAATCGTGCAAAAATGCCAAATGTCGCAAATTAAGTACATGTACACTAAGATTCGTCTCTTTTGTTTCTTCTATTCATTTACTCTTTCTTAAAATCAAATTTGAGGCACTTCTGAGGACTACAAATACTCCACGCACACGCAACTGATGCATTTACACACGCACAACTTAACTAATACACACAAAACGCGCGCGCACTCAAAGCACTTACCGCCGAAGCCCCCGAAACCACCGTTTCCTCCGAAGTCGGTCATATCGTTCAAGTCTGGCGCACGAACTATAACGAAAAAGAAAAAATGTCAGAAACAGTTTTTATTTCATATATTAAAAGCAAATACATGCCAAAGTAATCTGTTAGTACTATCTGGGTGTTCTACAGTAGGCTGTTACAAAATTAGAGTATCGTATACTTTCATTTTGTATTTTACTTTAGAAGCCCCTGATATCAGAGAGTAATCTATCAGCTACTTTTCGTCATCGCTCCCTTCACACGGTAACAAATTCTGTCATACATTCGGTTGACGTTAAAAAAAAAACTAAACGAATGGAGACAGATTGCGCTTTGTGCAAGGATTTAGGAGACGATAAAGGCATACCTTACATAAGTACGATAACTCTACGATAACCATACGATTACTGATAAAAAAATTTACCTCTAACTCTTGCCTATCTCTTTTTTTATTCCTCATCTCGATCATTCATAATAAAAACGGATCTTGCTAAGTATTACCGCAAAACTGTATTATCTAACTCAAACATTTAAGTTATCGGTAAAAGATTATTTTACTTACGGATATTCGCACTGCTACGTTTCCGCCTTTCATGGTCCCTAAAGTAGCAAAATGAATAGAAATAAATAGATTAAACCATTTTTTCTTTGCCAATGGGTTACAGGAAGATGGCATACATGGGCAACATTGTTTGATTATTAATTACGTATTTAGATAAATGAGCTTTCCATTGTTTCATATTAAACTTGATGTATAAAGCTATCGAGCTCTCGATTTCAAAGACACTTTTAAGAGCGAAAACATCGTAAAGGTACAATTTTAATAGACCATGTGTATTTCTCTACTTGCTGACTTGGATCAGACGTAGGGCTGTGGAATTCTTGAACTTGAACTTCTTGAACAGTAGTTCGCAGATAACATTGGCTCAAAAATCAACTATTTTTCAGTTTTCGATCCAAAAACACGATATTTCCTTTGCTAGTTTCATGTGTACGCAGAGAAAATCCATTCCTTATCGTGTGGTTGGAAAACTAATATAAAATACTTCCTGGTTATTCTTTATCATAAAAAAACGAGCCCAGTAGAAAAAATTTCTGAAATTGTTTAAAGTTTGATAAAAGCCTTACCTTGTGTTAGCAGCTAGGCTACTTGCCAGCAAGCAGCAGATAATAGAGGCACGTAGAAGTGCCATTTTCGGAAAGAAACTAGCTCTCCTTTGAATTTCTAGTTGCGTTTCGGGAATTATGTAAACGCTAATAAGGGAACTAGCGGTAAGAGTCTTTATCCTCTTCTTGCTCGACTCCCGCTGAAGCGTGAAGCTCGGGGACGGCCCTTTTTAACAAGGCTTCCACTCCGGAGTTGCGGTTCTCAAACTTTGGACCAATTAAGGCGCGCCAAGCTGTCACGTGACTTCGAATTCCTCCAAACACCCGATCAAGCATGCGATAGCTTTAGTGGAGTTTTCTTAAGAGTTAGCGTTTCCTTTTTGGACGCGATTAAGTGTGCAAACACTTTCTCAAAGCGGAGAAAGATAAATTTGGTAATTTATTTATCCAGTTATTCAAACCGCACAATACAGCACCATCAGCTGGATAAGGTTGCTTAAACAATCTCACTCATTTAAAATGGTCGTCTTATCATGGAGTGTAGACGGTCCTTTACAAACTTCATGGTTTTGATTAAAGTAAACTTGGTATGTCCGTGGATATATTTAGACACGTAATGATCGCTATGTAATAGCTGGGAGTGCATTTTCAGTGAAACATGGCCATTGCGCCCAATTTCGAGACGAGCTGTTTAAACCGATGTTTGCGCTGTTTTTGTGCCAGCGTCTTATTTTTGCAGCTTCAGCAAATTTTTCCCGAGATTAACACCGATTTATTTTCACGTTTCCTTCATTGGGTGTATTAAAAGGCGCGGAGAGCTAAATTACATAAAATGTGGTTGTGTAAGCCATTAATTAAGTAACTATCATTCATGTGAACGACAGATACGGTTAATGGGCATCCACTTAATTCTAAATGGGAAATTAACGGCCGGAGATTAGAGTTAATGTAAAAGCATTGCTTTAACACCAACTTATTCGTAAATAGTGTTTTATAATTGGACCGATAGTAGATTAAGTTGTCTTCAAATCTCGTGCATCTAGTCAATCAGAAAATGATCTATTTCCTGGGATATAGGTCTAGGTTCAAGGCAGCCAACTTATCCACCCTTTTCTTTTCATTTAGACGACCACGAATTCTTTTTAAATTCAATGACAAAAGAGCCTTACTATTTTAGAAATTGTTAAAATATCCGAATATGTCTAAAAATGCTTAAGTATTTTTAATTTGCTATAACTCTGGTGAGACCAAAATGATATTTTTATTCCCTTCTCCCGTTCCCTACCCGCCTGTCATATTTTCCGAAAGATTTACTACTCAGGACATTTACCAATACTATAAATGTGTCTGTGAAACATGCGGAATAATATTTTAGTTATCTGTGCTTGGTAACAATAGTTTTATGAATACTTTCAAAAGTATTCCCTACAGTAAATTCTGTTACCCCTCTCCCCCGTCCCATTAGACTGACAAGCTCCCGGTACTGCAGTTTCTCTTTCTATTTCTGATGCATTTCACCGGGGGAATTTTTTTCAGTAAAATTCATTTGTTGCTGAAAGTTTTACTGCATCATCATTAGATAGCGTAATGCCTTGATAAAACTGCATAGTAAACAAGTCAGAATAATATTAAAGTTACCTTTTGTATTTTTGAATGACATTTAAATTTATCGAGAAAGATGTCATCTCTACAGTCCACAGTCACGTCTCCAAATCTGGACACCGAATTCTACGGTCATTTTGCCGTGCGATTTCATTGCAGATTTAAAGTTTACACTTTCGGATTATGAATGCACTTAATTGTCTGTAAAGTGTTTCATTGCAGGTTAGTTAGAAAAAAAAAAGAATTTCAACCTTTTTACGTCTCTAACCCGAGTCCAATAATTATTTCATACGCTTGGCATTTCCTTCACTACACAAATCGCTGAACTCTCAGTTTTTCTTAACCAAGACACGTGCTATTTGCCATCCATTTTCTTTCATTAAAAACTTGCAAAATCTTTTGCTGTCTTAAAATAGTTTTTTAAACCGTGCTTCACCTAGCGACATGCTCGAGGATTGGATCCCGACACGTTTTGGTAATTCTCTTAATCCTGTTTGTACGGTTATCCTAAATATGTCACATTTACTTCGTGATTCGGTCATCCTATGTCAATTACACCTCAATGTCAATTTCACTTTAGGGTCAATTTCTCTATGAGGTGTGTGTGTGTGTGTGTGTGTGTGTGTGTGTGTGTGAGATGTCAGCGCAATTACACACGATAGGTTTGCGCGCGTGTGTTTGTGTGTGGGGGGTGCATGTTTGCGCAATTACGTAGTTAGATCTGTGTGTGTGTGTGTGTGTGTTTATGTGTGTTTGCGTGCTATTGTATGCAGCGAGAGAGAGAGAGAGAGAGAGAGAGAGAGAGAGAGAGAGATAAAAATAGTAAAATAAATCAAAAACACTGTGTCAGAAAAATAAAAATAAATTAAAAACACTGTGTCAGAAAGTCATGCCAGGATTATAAAAATGTTGCTTGAAAAGATGTTGAAGCAGAAGGCGGGATGATCGTTTCTGAATATTATTTTTTTAATTATTCATGTAGTTTGGAATTTTTTTAATCAAAATCATGCGTGTTGTATCTCACAATATCAAAAATGCATCCGCATTGCTGTGGGTTATGACGTTTTTTGATAATATATACAGGTTAAACATTAGAGGTTTAAATATACGGAATTCGAAACGATAAGGTGTGCAGAATTTATCCATCAAATAAAATAGGATTGGAACTTCTATTTCGGGTTAATTTAGATAAAAGAATCAGATAAGCCCTTTATTTTTTCTGTCTCTTCCTGTCCCCAGAAAACAGCCCATGAGATTTTGATTTTTTGTGACAAAAATACACATGTATATAGTCCTCTTTGTCTTTGAAACGAGAGTAAAGGTTTGCACAATGTTTACAGATACAGAATATCCAGACAGGGGCATCAGTATATGAGGGAAATCTGCGAGGAAGTTTGCGTAGCCTTCAGAGATGACAGATTTTGTCTTTTTAAAGAAAAACAGGAGTGTCACGTAGGAAGGGGGTGGGGGAGGGGCGAAAATCATTTCCGGCGTGACAAGTAAAAAACGGCAGTCTGCAATAATTTGGAACCGTAGTCAGTTCCCCATTACTTTGTACATCCGTTACATACACTGGGCCTTTGAAGATTCATATCAAGTCACCGTATAGATCTTAAAGAAGTAAATAAGTTATAACATAGATGCACCAGTATTATAACTTATACACTGGCCCTGATACTTAAAGCTCTAAACAATAATCTGTACTAATCATATGAGACCCAGACTACCATTCCTAGGACTACCATTCCTGTCACACCGACCAGCTTCCGATAGCACGTTCTCATTGGCTCTATTCCCATAGATTTTAGATCAATCTATCCCCGCGGGGAGTCTCACTAGATTACTTTCAGATAATCCGACTTAAATGTCCGTCCCGCCTACTACAAGCTGTAAGGGGGTAATTAACTTTCGTGTCCGCCCGGCTGACAGCTATTTAGCGTGTACCCCCAGGGAGTTAGGTCGATCTAAAGTAGGTCGATCTAATCTATGGAAATGGGGTGATTGACCTGTAAGAAAGTTCTGTCGGTGGAGGGAGAGGGGAGATGACCCCCAACCCCAACCTCCGAGTGTAGTCGACCATGTTTAAAAATTTTAATAAGTAACAGTACGTGTGCACTCAAACCATTGATACTAAAAGCTCAAAAGTGTCGTTAAATCTTTAAGTTGATACTTTCGGTTGGTGTATTTGACAGCATTTTAGGCACGCGCAATCAAACAATTTATCCAATGCATGATATGTCCAGTGATAGCCACCGTTGTGTAAGACACACCCTGCGTGTCACGGCATTCATGGGTGACATCGAGAAGTGAAAACTTAGGTGCAACAGTGTGTATTTAGTGTTGAGGAAATCCCTACAGCTATATACTCAACATCTGAAAAATACGACAAGATAGCCACCAAATTACTAGAGGAGCACAGACAACATTGTGCTGCTTAGTCGATGCAATGCATTCGTCCAGCTTGTGCTGGTAGCCAGCAAATTCAAAGAGGGGTTCTTATGTCTGAAAGGGTGGACCTTTTAACCCCTTATTCGAGAAATGGCATAAAACCTAGAACAAATTATAATTCAGAATGAACCTTTTTTTCCGACCAAAAGGACAGTTCGTTTTAACCCCCTGCCCCCCCTCCCCCTGCACGGCAACGCCTCCTTTCCTAGGGACCTGTCCATAGTGGGGAGGAGTCACCGTGTAGCTCCTGTTACACAGGGTGTTGAAGTGGGTACCAGTTTCACTTAACACGAACCACTTAGAAATGACCAAACTCATTTGCTTTTGCAGCAAAATAAGATTACGAAACAGCTGTTTCTGGGCGAAAGTAGTGCGTCCAGACAGAGAGACACGAGGTGCCATTTTATAATTTTTTTAAATTAGAAATTATTTGAATATGAACGAGAGTTCATTTTTTAGATTTATGTTTTTATAATTAGTATAGTAGGAAATACATCTGGGTAACCAATATCTTTAAAATATTCTTATCTTTAGCAATAAGTAATTTTATTTAACTGTGTTGCGATTTCTACTTAGTTATCGAATCTCACATAGTGTATCAATAATAAAAATTGATGAACAATTTCAACAATTATACACCGACATAAAATGTTTTGTTTTTCATAATTTCTGCATTTATTAAAATCCAATATTACATCTAAATGTTAAAATGCCCACGCAGGCCCGGATACAGTGCCATGTCTTTTTTTATGATCTAATAATATACGATTTGAGGCGATATATCTTTGGTTTACTTCACGATTATGTATGTAAATATGAGCTGTATGATTAATATTTATCTACAGGTCACAGATATCTTCAAACGGAACTGGATTATGCTACGCATGTTGTTACAAGGATATTAAGTTGATAAATACATGTATATAAAGTAAATACAATGTGCTTTATATCATGTTCTGCGCTTCATCTGAAGCGACTTTTCACCTCAACTTTTTGATTTGATACTTCTATCAACCCCCCTCCCCCGCTTCCGTTATCATTTGGGTGTCGTTTTGGGTGTGTGGGTGAGCGTACAAGAGAGAGAGAGAGAGAGAGAGAGAGAGAGAGAGAGAGAGAAAGAGAGATGCGCATTCAAAAATTAATGAAATATTTCCCCAGTGTTTATCCCAATATATTATATAT